AGGGTCCTCTGGTTTCACATCCAAGCCAGTCAGGTGTCCAATCAGCCCTTTTGAACTGATGGCCCATTCAACCCAAGCCTTGTAGTATAGCCAGTTCCTTCCATCCACATTTAGGGTTGGGACTTGTAAGGAATGATTGTCTTTTGCCATAGTGGGTATTGTTGCTGTGTAGTAACTCTTTTGGAATTAGAGTGTGAGAGCAGGGCTCATAACCTAATGAAGGTATGAGTTTCTCAGTGTATGAAGCAGTCACTATATTAGTACCTAACAAAGGTATGAGTTTCTACACTACATCAGTACCAAGTAAATGAGCAGGAATCTAGCTATACTCACCTCAGTGTATGAAGCAGTCACTGAGGTGGAAAACAATGGTGCAGAAAATTTATAGTATGGTAATTAGTAAGCATGTTGACATTGGAATTTAGTTCCAAGGGTTGGGGAGAAATTCCAAGCCCTCTGGGTGAAACCCCAAGAGGCTACTGTAATTCTGGAACACATTCTTGACACTTACAAACTCATGGGAGAGTTGGATCTCCAGAGGGAACACTCCTTCCCACTCATGACCTGTCTTCATCCTTGAACAGGTTGTCAGTCATTTAGCCCTCCTCAGGCTCAGAATCTCTAACAGGGGGATTTCCCCTGGTAGTGGATGCTCCCACACAAGGGCAGTGACAAAACACCTTCCTTCTTTGATATGATGGTCTCTTTCTTCCTTGGAGGGTCTTACTCCATCAACATCCACTGCATTGGGGTCCTTTTCTTTGCTGAGGTTGTTGTTTGGATAGAACATCCTCATTTCTTTCTTTCCAGAAAGTTTGTTCACTTTTCTCCACTTGGAATCAAGTTTTTGTGCTTGTTTGCACCAATCATTAATTTTGGCAAGGGTTGTCTCCATCATGTGGATGCAGTTCCCAATGAACAGTTTGAGACCTTGAGAAAAGAACTTGATCAGGGTTACATCTTGGGTGAGGGTGGAGTCAGCAGTGGCAGTGTGGAAATCAGTGATGTACAGTGAAAGACAAAGCCATTGCAATATTTGCAATGTGTGTATTGTTGATGATGCAGCTCAGGCTATTCTGCATGGGGAGTTATGATACATATACCAAGGGGTGACTCTGAGCTTTCCAGAACACTAAGGTTTATACTAAACAAAGCCATACATGCTGAGATATAGTGTATTCTTTCCAAAATGGTGCATTGCAACACTTTTGTCCCTGACTGGTGAAATAGTGAAAAGTGACTTTTTGATGGATTGAGAGCATGAGGGATGGGAAAATATGTAATAGACCACATGATCTTCCAGATGATTTGTCAACATGTAAACAATGACAAACATTGGATTTGTACCATTAACCCTCCCTCTTTCCCCACAACTTATGAAGTCATCTCTCTGGCTCATGTGGCCATTTTCTCAGGGAAATCTTATTAACTACTAGTGGCCACTACAGTACCATCAGTATAACATGCACTCAGAATCATCAGTCCCTTGAAAAACCTGCTGTCAGTCATTCCCTGGACTGTTTCCTCACCCATGCCTGATGTGTTCTGGGACTAATCAATACTTGGAAGGCTGAGAATGTTATGGAGGTCCATCTGGCACTTCAGAACATGATAGACAAACTAATCCCCTCTCAACCTATGCATTTTGGAAGTCAGGGTGAGACACAATCCTCTTTACCCTTGGGTGTCATCAGAAGGATATGCTACTGAGCTGTAATGGAGCAGAATCCTGTGCTTCCATCTGGCCCTGAATATTGCCTTTGGTCACATGTGACCAAACAACCCTTCCCCAGTCATCTGCAACTCAGATAAGAGCAAGATCTAGTGAACCCTCTTATAATGCTTGGAGCACAAGGAGGTTTTGTCTTGCCCAAGCTTCCACACCAGTGTCTCTGTGCCAGAAATGCATAGGTTTGGGATTGGTTTGTCCATCATGTTCTGAAGTGCCAGATGGACCTCCATAACATTCTCAGCCTTCTAAGTATTGATTAGTCCCAGAACACATCAGGCATGGGTGAGGAAACAGTCCAGGGAATGACTGACAGCAGGTTTTTTAAGGGACTGATGGTTCTGAGAGCATGTTACACTGATGGTACTGCAATGACCACCAGTATTTGATAAGATTTCCCTGAGAAGATCACCATATAAGCCAGAGAGATGATTTCATGAGTTGTGGTAAATGAAAGAGGTACAAATCCAATGTTTGTCATTGTTTTTGTGCTGACAAATTATCTGGATGATCATGTGTTCTATTATGTAATCATATTTTCCCACACCTCATGCCCTCAATACTGTCAAAAGGTCACTTTTCACTATTTCACCAGTTAGGGACAAATGTGTTGCAATGCACCTTTGGGAAAGAATACAGTATATCTCAGCATTTATGGCCTTTTTTGGCATATACCTTAGTGTTCCAGAATGCTGGGAGTCACCCCTTTCCAATGGTATATGTATCACAACTCCTGATGCAGAATAGCCTGAACTGCATCATCAACAATACACACATCACAAACATCACAACAGTTTTGTCCTTCACTCTATGTGATACTACTGAAGGGCCTGTCCTTATGTTGTGACACTATTAAATGATATTACTGACAGGCCTGTCTTTATGTTTCTACTGGGGTACATCTTACTATGGATGGGCCTGTCCATATGTTGTGATGATATAAATGATACTGCTGAAGGGCCCATCCATATGTTGTGACACTATGAATGATATTACTCCCAGGCCCATCCATATGTTGCCAACTTTGTATTCTAATCATAGAGGGGCCCATCTTTATGTTGTAACCCTCTCCATGATATGATAGGTGGGCCTGCCTTGATGTTGTGACTGGGGTGTACCCTACCATGGACAGGCTCATTCATGTGTTACAGTAGCTTAGTATACTCAATTGGTCACAGGCCCATCTGAATGTTTCAGCATCCTTACCCTCCATGGGCCCTCCCATATGTTGTGGTAATGCATGTATGGGCCTGTACATACATTACTCTCACTTTAAGCCCTTAGGCCTGTCCATGTGTACTGGCTAATCTATTTAGGCAGGCCTGTCTTGGGGTCTATATAAGTGTTGGTGTTTTGGTGCACAGGCTGCCCATGTGTTGTGACTGAGTGTGACTACACTATGCACAAGACCACTTCCACAAACCTTATGTTGTCATTAGCTACCCTACAAACTGCAACATGTATGTAAGGTCTACCATATGGCCAAGACCTTTAAGGATCATAAGCAAGGGCTTTGAATAATAATTATAATAAACAGAAATAATTGATGGCCTGTTCAAAGATGAAGACAGGTCACAAATGTGATGGGGTATTCCCTCTGGAAATCCAACTCTTCTCTGAGTCTGAAAGAGTGGGGTTTAACACCCTTCCCTCTGTGCAAAAATCCCCAGGCTTTTCCCTCAATTACTGGAACTGTGAGGCTTATTTCCATATATGTCTCTTCTTTCTTTCTCTTCTTTCTTTCTTTCTTTCTTTCTTTCAAGCCTTTGACAGCTCTATAGGTATGGGTGTTAGGGGAGATGCCCTAATGAGTAGTAATTACTACCAGCATGTCATACCTCAGCATCACATCTCCTGCTCATATATATGTCTCAAAGACATTGCTGTAGGAGAATCTTTCATCAGGAAATTAACACTTTACTATTTTTGACTTTTTCATGACTTTTTTTGACTTTTTTGTGACTATTGTGACTATTTGTGACTTTTTGGGAAGGAATCTACTATCTGTACTTTTTTTTTGGACCATATACAGCATTTTGAAGAATGAAAAGAGAACAGAATCTATTGAGACAACTAAGTAATGATATATCTAAGCCAAGAAGACTAGAAAATGTCTGAAAATTCAGAGATATTGAGCCATTGGTGTGATGCACACTGTCTGAGAGAAAAATCACAATATCTCTTTGGAACCTCCATCAATTTGAATGTATGTGGTATCTACTGAAAGCTATGAATTAAGTGGTTTTAACAAGACCAAAATCAGCAAGAACAGTGCAGCCATGCCTGCAGGACATAGGTAATGATAGTAGATTCCTTCCCAAAAAGCCACATTAGTCACAAAAAGTCAAAAATAGTAAAGTGTTATTTTCCTGATGCTTTTATCTCTACAGCATATACTGCAAATACCATGCAGTTCACTTCACTTACATGAGCTTGATGTCATGACCATGCATTCATCCTAGGTCCTTACTCACTCTGCACCCCTTTCCACTGGTCATTTGCTCACTCTTCACCAACTCTGCCCATCCCCTGACATTTATGAGTCATCTCCACTCCAACTGCTGTCAGACTTGTACTGCTCTCCTACTGGACCACATGGGCCATTCTCTGAGGAGTCATGTGACTACCCTTCAGACTTCTCCCTGACAGCACATGATCAGGTACTCTGCAGCACATGCACCACATGTTCCAGTGCCTGGACTGCTTCCTCTTCAGGACATTCTGTGTTACCTATTCATGCATCCTCCATCTACCCTTCATTCATTGTCTAGGAAGTTTTACTGGAAATTTTATGGGTCTCTGTATGTCAGTTCCAATTCTGATTACTGTACCTCCATAGTAGTATAAAAGCCTGTATCATACTCTGCTGTTCTTCAGTATGAATATTGACTTAAGTTCCTACTCCCTCTGTCTCCATCTTCTGCCTGTTGGAGTTACCTCCAACTGTCCATCTGTACTCTCCCTCTGAAATACAAGGGCTGAGATCATGCAAGGGGGTAGTGCATGAGCTAAACCTGATGCCCTCACTCTGCTCCACCTTTATCTCAGTGGACTTCACTCCTGCCAAAACTCCACCAGTTGGAGTTCAGTTCCTTCTGTCAGACTTGCTTCTGAACCTCTCCCCAGACCTTGCCTAGCATTGGAGTTGGTTGGAGTAGGCCCAGACTTGACACTTGAGATAAATCCCAACCACAACCTTACAGCATTGCCTCTGTGAGCACCACACACTCATTTGAGTTGGAACTGAGCAAACTCAAAGAACAATTGTAGACTTGTAGCAACACACCAACTACTATACATCCATTGTGTTCCTGTACTTGGGGCACCTTTGTAAGTAGTCCTACAATATCACATTCATTATCATTATCTTGCAATTTCCACATGCCCAATTATATCAAGCATCATGATTCTCTACTGGATGCATACAGCTCACATCAAACCCATTCTCTTCCAAGTATTGATGGAACTTCAAGTTAGACAGGTGTCAGTTCATGCCCAGAGAAGTAAAGGAAGACATGAAAAACATACAGCTTTGTCATTGGCTTTCTTTTGATCATGTGTAAGAGGATTCACCAGGAAAAATGTTACAACCACATTGAGAGTTGCAAGGCCACTACCAAGCCAGAACAGACCAATGTTACCCTTCACAGTTTCTGATCCACCTAATGCTAAATGGTTATACCCCTAAGCATGAGCAATTACACCTTAGATTGAGTGTATTGAAACACACCATCAATGATTTGTGGGAAGGCTATGGCCATTGGAGATCAGTCTTAAGAGGCAGATCAAGCCAACCTTTACATGGTACATACCCCACACTCCAATGAAAGCTCCTACTTTTCCAATTGCAGCTGCAATGATGCATACTTGTCCACTAACATGGGCTGAAGATCCAGTTTTTGCAGCAAGGACATGGAGGCAACTGCCAGGACCTGTTTCATGGCAGCATATAAACAAACCAATCAACCATGCCATTTGATTCTTCAGACTCACCAACTTCACCAAGACTTAAGAATATTCCATAGATAATCTGTATAATGCTTGAAAAGTTACACCCCTGAGTCCAGATTCAATGGGCTTACTGCAAATGTAGAAACATGATGACTGAGTTGGATGTACATGGTGCCCATAGCAATGCCAATGATGGCCTGCAAGAGCAATCCAACAATCTGACAAAACAGGATCTGAATGTACATGGGCCTGGCACTGTGCACTACTACATACCATTGTTGCCTTTAGACCAAGGTAATTCATAAGGAATGTGCCAAGCACAGTTCCTGAAATGGGTTCAGCTCACAGAGAACCAGGAAGGGTAGGTAAGGCACCTGGAATACAGAAAAAACTACTAGAAGTCAGGACAACACCCCATGGGACTAAAACAGACAAGCCTACTTGATGACCCCAGACCACCCCAACACAATTGTCAAGGATGAATTGCCTCCTGTGATACTACAATCCCCATGAGGTCTAACTCTTTGTAAATGACACCCCATGTGAGTCACATACTCACCATAGATAACAAAGCTTGGCAACAAGTTTACTAGCACCCTGACCCTCCATGCTTCCCTCAGAAGCAGACATTGCAGAAAACATGATGAGCATAGAAGGTGCAAACACCTGTGTGCAACACTCAGACACATAAATGAGGTTACATGAGCAGCACACCACATCTATTCCCCCACCATTTGAAACCAATGCAAAAATCAGCATACTAAATACAGTGCCTTCAGGGACATGGCATGTTGGTGTGCTTGTGACATGGGCACAAACAAATACATGGAGCTCAACTTACCAGCAATTGTCATACTTGTCAACAGCCCACTGTGATATGGTGTCCCAAATTGACCTCCAGCATCTTCACGAGCTAGTACTGATGCCAGCGGTAGGGATTGATTAATGCCTTGTAGATATCTCAGTTGATGGATTTACGTATGAGTGATAACTGCAATAGCGAAATCAGACTGGAGTAGAAGATCAGGGCAGGATACACATCATACCTGCTCCAATCGCTCCAATAGAGTAGCCTGCCCATGTCAGTGCACCTCTGATGATGAGTAGGTGGATGGGCCGCACCATTCGAAAGTAGGACCGTACCACGGCCGACAAGTCAGGTGAAACTTCTCATTAGTTCCAAGCACAGGGAGCAAAATGAATCAAAACCTTACATGAGTCGCAGGCACAACGTCTCAGCAAAATCTCCCTTCGTTACAGCTGGCATTTTCGTAGGAAATTGATGAAACGCTTGACAGGTCAAAAGCAAGGGGCGCGGTGAGTCCACGCTCCTTATAACCAAATGTGATAGGGGTCATGATTGGCCGCAAAGGAGTGTTAGGGGTTGACTCAGCATGCAGCATCAAGTGTCTATTTTCTGCACTTGCAAACCAAAAGATTGTGTGGCCTCACATGTCTTACCGGACACTCGAGACAAGTTAGTAGAAACTCACTGAGAAGGCACGAGAAACGCTGTTTCTCGTGCTCGTGGCCCATCAGGAAATTACTAAGTGACTTAGGGAAATCAGAATCCATTAAATGACGATCGAAGGGCTTAATAGTTCGGTACCATACAGCACAATACTGTCATAATTCAAGTTATAGCGATGGACTGTACGAACTACTTATCCCCCTTTAATCGATGAATCTACCGACTTCCACAACCTGTGCCACCCTGGGGGGGGTTCGATACCTCGCTTCTTCCAAATTTCTGTCTGGTAGTCTTTGGCAACCTTTCCAGTCCTGCGTTCACAATCCGCTATAGATTCAGTTTCTCGCCGTACGGAGTCGTGCGCAATGGGTGGCGAGTTTGCGGCCAGAAGTCGAAGGTAGCCGAGTGAGTAACGACCTGAAGGTTCACATTTTCGTATATCTGATACTAGCGCGCAGATCAACGTGCCCCGTTGTCCCAGATTGCGACAGAATTTGGCTCCCGACGGAGACAAACTTGGAAGTCCACGACTGCGCTGAGCTGGAATTGTAAGATTGCGCCCGATCCGGCCTTTGGAAGTGCGATGGTGCGACGCGTGAAGCCCTTATTAGCATAGACGCTCTTCCATCCGGTCACTGGGGTGGACACGGACGACAGGGTGAATGTTGTCTACGGTTCCCTCTGCACGTGCAATCCCTGGGCATGGGCTCCTTCCGCCTGTGCGACCGCACTGTGAAGAGCAGCGCGACCCTCTAGGTACTTCTGAAATCCAGGGCTCAACGACGAATAGAGGGCGGATCTGGAAATGATGTCAGGCCTTCCACACCCAGCCAACTAACTAACACGGCGCGATAGGTTGTCTTACCCAGAGGTCTACAATGTGTCCTCTCCATACTCTGGGCCTGCTATGACCTTGAGAGACGTTGTGCTCGGAGGTTGGATTTCGTAACTGACATCGCTGTGGCAAAGGCCAAATTTGGTGAACGTAACTGGATCGGGGCGGTTAGCGAGATCGTTATATACAACTACGGATGCTTAGGTTTCATTGTCAAGACTGCAGCGTTAAATACGTACCATGAACTTCCTCAAGCCCTGGTCCCTGAGCACACCAGTGGTGGCATGGGCATGAAGGGTCCGAAAGATCCGGCAAGCTCAAGTTGTTCATGGATATTCAACTCCTAATCCCTGAAGACTGTTGAAGGATATATCGGCACGCGGAACCAGTTTGCTTAAGTTACTCACAGACGACACCTCTTTCTTCCACCGGGAGAGCGCTGTCCGTACTACTTTAATATCAAAAAAGGAGAAACGTGCGCACAGCTCGTCTTTCTGAGCTGGAGCGAGCTGGCGCAGATCGATGCCAGTCGGCTTCCTGACCAGCTTCGTCTCTAGCTTTCCTAACGCGTAGGGAGGCTGGTATAGATACTATTGCTGCTCAAAGGCTTTGGTCTGCGATACGCCTGCCTGAGCAGATGCGGCTATGAATTCCACCTATGTCCGGCGCTGTTTCTCTCTCTCATATGCAAATAACAAGCCCACCGATCGAGTCCAATATATGGGGAGGTCGTACTTTGACTAAGCATTCCACCAACAGTTAGGTGCTTGGTCGAATGCAGCGGGATTTGGGTAATGCATTTCATTCCGCGTTATCGCCATTGGTCACAGGAATTGAAGACATTTGTCGAACCGTAGAAAAACAAGTCCGAACCAAAATTGATTAGCACAGTCACACCTACATGAAGGCGAGCGAGATGCAGCATAACTATCGAAGCATATGACTTGCCTTTTGGTATATACATGCCGTGAAAAACGTTTGCCGTCGTTGTCGTGCATGGAAGCACTGCTAGAGTGTCGATGAGGCCTGAATGCCACCGCCAGCTCTCCAAAAGTACAGCCTCGGCGTAAGCTATCCCTGAACTCGGGCAGACGGGTATCTCAAACCATGCGATCGATCTCTTGAGCTTTGGCCTGCGCCTCTGAATATAACACCACAGCAAGGAGGAAGAGAAGGAGTGTGAATGATGTCTGCGCCGGTGGCTCAGTGGTGGCAATGAAAAACTACATAAACTCACTGTTTCTGCTCTACTTGTGCTGGAAATGAATTATACGTTACAGATAGAACATACGAAACTCAACTCACCAAGGAGTACAGTGGCTGCCACTGCTTTGATGAACTCATCTTCAGAGGAAGCCAAATCCTTCCCAGATTCCATCTCGAATAAGTCACCCACAAATGACGTCGTTGGCGTGCCAGCTGCCTGCGAGATATTAAGACTTTGATGTCTGAATTTACGTAGCTGCCGCAAAACTTGCTATTCTATCCTGCACATACGTTACAGGATCGTCCAGCACCGTTCTCGCAAGAGCGCAGCACTCTGTTGAACTCTTTTCGAACTGTCCGCCAGGGATCCACGATAGGAGGTATACCACTGAAATGGCATTGGTCGCGTTGATAATTCGACGTCGTTAAAATGGACTCACAGAGTGAGATGGCGCTAAGTAAAGTGGCTCGTTCCACAGTTAACACTCGAGTCCTTCCCTCTGGGAGGAACACATCAAGACGACATCTGATATAGGACGGACGGCCGTGCCGTTCCCTGGTAAGTCACGTCACGAGGGGCGTCCGCATCTTGGAAGAATATCAAATCAAGGTTCTAGAACAGGTATCATGACAGCCTAATAATTACTTGTACGCTATCACGAACGCTCCCGGGACTGAATCTGATTGGGGGTCATGCGCCTACCTAGACTTAATGACGGGGTAACGAGCGGTTTCAAATGGACTGAACTGTTCTGAAAGACGTTTTCCCATGAGGTGCAGCGGTAGTAGATTGAACGTTATTGTACCGTACATAATCAAGTGGGGTGACCATCGCCGACAACTTGAAGTTACGTGGAGAGACCCTCAGAAGGTAGCTTGTGGTGGTTCCAAGACCCGACCCGACCCTGCTCTGTAACGGTGGTAAGTAAACTGTAATAGTTATAAAACAAAATAGAGAAGAAGAAAAATAAAGCAGGAACACCATATCCTTGGTAGGAAAAACCCACTGCCTACATCCGAGGCTTGAAACTTTGACTATCCCCAGTCAACCCAGAGGCAGCACAACTAGATGAGAACCTAAGGTCATGAGGGAGGGGTGAGGGAACGGCGCGGCGACGGACAACAGCAGCTCGAAATGGCACGAAACTATGGGATACGGCGAGGGCGAAAGCGGAGAACACGGCACCAAAGGAATGGAGCGAATTCGCCCATCTGTTCCGGCGATATTCACGTTGTGCGAAGGTGCCTCTAGTAAGAAGGCAGGGCGTATCTGCACACCCATAGAAGCAAGCGCGACGTAAGGTATACAAACGAGAGGCACGACGACGAAGTGGGTGAGATACGGCGCATACGACGTCGTGGACAGCAAAGGGGGAACTGCCGACTAACAGCGGATGCTTGGAACGAGACGAAACTGCAAGAGACGATGGAGAGAAACGTAATAAATTTGGCGAGAGAGAAATGGTGGGAATTTATGCACGCAGGCCCGAGATGTTCACAAAGTTATCGGAAAGTGCCTCACATGACAAAAACCGACTGAGAGCCCGAAATCCGAATCCATCACAAAAGTCAATTATGTCCTTGAAATAATATTGTAAATTGTAATAGTCATAAAACAACAGAAACGAAGAACAATAAAGCAGAAATACCATGTCCCTTGGTAGGGAAAACCCATTCCCTACAGCGCAATAGCAGATGCAGATGGTGCACCCACGGGCAGTGGAGTTTTCGTCCAGTCTGGAATGATGCTTTTCAGCAAATGTTCCGAATCAGCTGCCGTGACGGCCGTTTCATCGTCATCGTTCTGCGATGAGAACGCTTCGCCCCACTTTTCCCTCGTAATCTCCATCCCTCCCGTTTTGAGGGCCCTGCAGGTAAACAGCAACCGGATTGAGTATGTCACGGGTGGACGTGAGAGCGAAGCAGAACATACCCTGCTAGGGAGCCGCCAACCCATGCCATCAACGCAGGGGAATATGCAGGCGCTTTGCCAGCATTAGCTTTGGCGCGCGTCGAGGACGACCCAGAAACCTGTGGCGAAGGATTGTTCAGGATGGCAAAGTGTGGGATGAGTGGTCTGAGCTCTGCATAACGATCATAGGCAGGTGGTGCTGGTCTTCCACGTCGAGAATCTTGTTGCGGTGATCCTGGAGGTGCGATTGCGCGAAGGAGTTCGGCATGCAAACGCGGGATAAAACCAGGTAACATCGCAGTGCCCCCCGTTACGAGAATGGAAGATGCCATCGTTGTTCTCAGGTCGATAGGTACCTGTGAAAACATGTAAGATCCGAGCGAAATTTGGCCATACAAGGGAGGAGGAACCTTGAGTAGAGCATCCAGTATGACCTCTGCGACGCTGCCTTCGTCGACGTCACCGCCCTCGAAAAGGACCTCGGCGGCTCGCTCGCGGATCCATCCAGCTACGATAAGGGTGCCGCGTCCGGTGCCCATCTGCTGTGAGGTTGGAGGCACAACGCGGAGTTGGACGTCAGTAGCATTCGAATGTCGAGTATATAAGTTGGCGAGTGCTTGGAGGTAACTTTCGGACGCGGTCCCAGAGTCAGATGAAGCTTCTGGCTGCGAGGATACGAAACTTTCGGGTACATCGGAGGCAGAAGCACGAGAGAACTCCGACTCAGACACAGCACTATCGCTTTCAGGAAGAGGGTCGGCCTCGGAGGCAGATGTTGTCGGGGACGAAGGTCGGATGTCATGCCTTGCTTCCAATACACTGCTCACGAAACAGCACCTAGTTTTGATGTCTTCAACCAGTAAATCCGTAAGAATCTCCTGCGGGACACGTGTAAGACGGGTCGCAAGTGGAGGATTGACGACGGTAAGATTCGTCGGAGGCGGAGCATATTTTCCGAACAGAAGCAAAAGGGCACGGAGGTGTGATGTGAAGCGGGAACCCGCCAACGGTGTAGTCTGTAGATGTGGGAACAGCGGCCTAGCAGCGAAAATCTGTATAACAAGACTGGCGTTAGCGGGACGGACAGTTCGGATTGTCTGGAACGAAAAACGTACGGGTAACGCTGCAGTTTCGAGATGACCACAATCGATCACCAAACCAGTGATGCGGCCAACCGACAGGAGAGACAGAAGGTGACTTGGAGCAAACGATATTGAAGGCACCTTGTAAGGTATCAAGGATATGCCGTCAAGACAATGTAAAACCACCCAGACGCACCTGCAAATTACCGAACAAGACGCGAGCAAATATTTCTTTGATGTGCAGTGGGAGTAGAGGGTGTTCGACCAAAATCACCTTGCGAGATTTGGGGTCTGTAAGTAGCGACCTACCCCGCACCTCTGTTGAGCAGAAAGCATCGACGAGAGAGTCTCAGTCCGTCCTCACTCATGGAACACCGAGCGCATGCGCCTCTCGACATTGATTTCGAGTAGCCGATCTTGCTCAGCTCTAGTTGCAGCATCGCTTGCGCGGTTCAATCCCCACAGAGGTTCCGCGCTTATTGGATCTGAGTAGAAGACATCCCTGGGCCTTCCCTCGCCACTGAAGCCAACCTTCCAGATACGTGAGCCAGGATCGACGACGACGCGGTCTTCGGTGCCATACAAAGAGTGTCTGCGTGTAGTCGTATAATGGGGCGATGCCTGAAGGACATGGGAACCTGCGATCCTGGTGGCAGTTGGTGTTGCGGTAGGTGTCGCGGACGCTGTTTTCCCTCTGGGCGTTGCTGTGAGCACAGACATGGCCTGAGCGCACTCGGTATGCCCTCGATGCCCTCGAGTCCAGAGTACTAATGTAGGTCACGTGAAGTTGGACGCGTTGCAGAAGTAAAGCACAGAACAAAAAGCCCACGGACATGCAGCAGTAGTGATTACATGGAGTGTGAGTCGATTAAAACGCCGGCCCTTCGAACAACACGCATTCTATCATACAGGTTGGACGAAAAGCTGGTATGGCTCCTCGTATTCACCCCTAGCCTTCCTGGCGCGCCTCTCGTCCTTCCTCGCCCGCCTCTCTGCACGCCTTGCACCTCTGTCAGCCCTCCTTTCCGCTTTCCAAGCCCGTCGCTGAGCCTTGTAATCATTGTGAGAGTGTCCATTCCCACGGTGACGGCGATGGCCATCCTTGGAATCAGACGAAGACGAAGACGACGAAGACGAAGAGGACGAAGACGAAGAGGACGAAGAGGACGAAGAGGACGAGCTCCCGCGACGGCGGAGGTTGTTGACCATGTGTCGTTGCTGTGGATCCCAAAACTTGGGAGCAGGACCTTCGCGTCCACTCAGACGTTCGGAATCCTGACAGAGGACGACCTCCATTCTGCGAGGGCCAAAGAAGTACTGTCATAGTGATATTCAGTAAAAGCCGAAAATCAACATGAAGCTGTTTGGAAAACGAACGTGGTTCCAGTGATCAACGACATCTCCGGCAGCAGTGCGATTCTTGGATTTCATCCTATTCTCGATTGCGTGGGTCATAAACAGACCTCCTGTAGTCTTGTGTCACAACAAAGTACAACTTCAATCAGTTGGTAAGAAATCATACCGAGGAAACCCAGTCCAGCAACCACAGGGATAACGTTAGATTTGATACGTTGTGCACCAGACAGCGAAGCACCCTTCTTCACGTCCGCCAGGAATCTGTGAAAGAGTTTAGTACTTCGCGGCAACCGCACACTAAGTGGACAACCATGACTTACCGCTTCCAATCTTCTTCGGCGACATCGTGGGTCGCGAACGGGTGCGGGGCGAGCTGACAAGGGGGTGGGAGCTCCGGGAAGCCCTTCGCCAAGTCCTTTCCGTTGGAGATCAAACACATCGGCGGGAATTGATTGTACGGCATGTTGGATGGGGGTGGACGCTGCCACGAGGACGGAGGTCCCTGATTCCCGAAAAACGATGCAAGAGACAACCCCCCTTCCCTTCCATTGGGTGATGGTGTACGGTTTAAGTGCGTTGAGGGAATGGTGGTAGGATCGTACGCCTGCGAGTTACTTGGGTGAGAAAGAGTGGTCAATAGGATAATCGTTCTTATGAACTTACGGCGGAGCGAGAGGCTTCCTGTGGGTAGGGTGCATACCCTTGGGGAGGGTGGCCACTAGACGGCTGCAGGTATTCTGGCGGGGGACCAAGAGGGGCTGGGTACGATTGCTGCGGAGGCGCAGGGTATTCTGATTGCTGATAATAAGGATTGTTCGAGTGCTTCTCTGGCATGGCTACCGATTGCGATGTGAGATTTGTGAACGTCTGCAGCAGTGAACTCAATACTAACCAGCCTTTTAAGCCCTCTCTTGGGCGCTTTGGCCACCAACTGCTGCGCTGGGTATCTATGTAACTCGCATACCCGGTCAACTATGATGGCATTATCGCACAGTGCACTGCTCTGACAGCATCCGGGTGTGGCCACGCCGCACGGTGGCAATTCCAGTTCGGGAGCAGATGGTATCTGCTCCCAACACCTGACCTTGAACCAGTCCAACTCCACTGCTCGTCATGGCCTTGCACCCTGTGCACGATTGATTCAATATCTGTAGGAAACGCGAGCAATGTCATTGTACAATCGTGGCTGCGTACGGAAGATGGAGGCTAAGTACACATGTAAACAGAGAAAAGAGCGTCCCTGATCAACAGCGACGCAGATATCAGAGTGACCGTGCCTAATTGGAGGGGCTATTGCAAAGATTAATTATCCGCAGCACCGAGAACCGAACAATAGGGGGACGGTATCACAGATACAAAGCGTGTATGTGAAATCAGACACAGGACGGAAGCGGATGTGTTTAAGAAGACCCGGCTCATGTGCCGGCCTCCTTCGTAATACTTGTAGTCGTGAAGGAGTGAATGAGGAAAACGTGTGTTGCGATATGATACGACAAAACCCCAAAAATGAAGAAAAGAGCACCTACGCCAAGGTCAAACAACCTTTAGGTCTGGCAATGCATCAATTTGTGACTCACCGAAAGTAACGGCATCGTCCTCCCGTTTAGGACGTTAAGATCCCCAAAAGCAAATTCCAAACCCACTGAAGCACTAGCCTGACATTAACATTTCACGGTAGCACAGGGACAGGGGCAGAGACGCACCACGCATGAAAAGAAGTTGATAGTATGTTCGAATAGAAAAGTTCTCGTCATTAATACGATCGATCGCCGAATCCTGGCGTAGTTGATGGAAGTTCTGAGCGTATGAATATGAATGGTCACGAAGTGCGCAAATGGAACATGGCAACATGGCAAGTAATCCGTAAGGAAGTCCTTCGCGCACAGATTTCATAGAGTGGAAGCGGAGGCACTCACGGTTGGTGAGTTTATCAGTCCCTGCGATAGACCTGGGCACACAGCACGCTTTACGGATTCCTCCGCAGCTGCATGATCCGAGGATTCGCTATCCTGTAGCGGATCCTCGATATTGATCCTAGACCTGGATGCTCCGTGTGATAAGAGATTGGGCGATACAGCACGTTGTGGGGTTGCATCCGGGGAGCCCGTGACAGTGCGAGTAGCCAGTGAACTGTGCATCATAACTTCGCCGCCATCACTTTTATCACTTGATTCCTCAGACAGTTGAGAGTGAAGGCTAGCATTGAGGCGACTGCGCCTTTTCACTAGACCGGGTGGGACCGGCGGAACGCGAGTGTTCGCCGGATTGAGCTTGGGATGAGTTTTCATCCTCGAGAGCGGAGGGGACGACAGCGGAAAGGATTTGGGAAGATGTGTTGGCCAATGAGGTAAATTCATGTGGTGAGAGTTCATGGCGGATGACAAGGGCATGAACGGTTCGGTTGGAGAACCCTGGGTTTTGGGGAACGGGTATTCGAAACGCTGAGAGCCGATATCGAACGGTGTACCTAAGATCTGCAGCCAGAACAAAAAAAAAGAGTGAGATGCACGACAAAGAGTGATGAGCCCGACAATTGATGAATGGTGCCACAACGCGGAGAATCACCGACCTCTCCAGAAGATGCAGACGAGAAACTGTGACCTGAATCTGAATGGGAAGAGCCTGTGGTGGTGTTGTAGGACCGGCCACGGCGAGTAAGAAGAAAGCGTACTGACCGCTGCGTGTAGGGTGAACAGACTCGTCCATAGTCGTGACTGGGCGCCGTTGGGCCTGCTCTACAGCGAAGAGGTGGTCAGCAGAGGGTGACATCCACTGGGTAGCAGCGTAGTAGCGTGCTGGCAGGAAAGAAATAGGCGAACCGGCCTCAATCTCATGGGGCCAGGCGCAAACCCGCAATCAGTTAAAGCAGCGCATCGGCCAAACGTGTTCGATGTTCCTCAAAACAAAAACACTGCGACTGTTCCCGCCTGCATCTGCCAGTCCACGGTGTGATGATCTGTGAGTGACTAGACCTCATTAATTGTCTGTCACCTGAAGGCTGTGAGTAGGGAGGCCGATGGGCTTCAGTTTCATTGACGAGTCTCGAGGTGCAATCATGCTCTGAATGCACAGACGCCCATAACAGTCGTGCCCTTCTTCGCATCAGACCCGATGTTCGACACGCCCCCTGCGCGTTTCCAGCGCAAGGCCGACTTCGGCCACAATGGAGTGCCCACACCCATCCTGTGTACAACAATGTGGCAGGCCCGCCTGACCCACGTTTGTGCCGCTTCCGACGCCGTGACAGCCTTTTACAAGCTTCTTGGCACTGCGGGGGGCTGTTCCCCCTGAAGCCTTTCACTTCCGCACTCTTCCTTGTGCTCGTTCGAACACTACAGCAACCTCCGGTCTTGTCCGATCATCTAGCCAGTGAGCCAGTGCTGCAGCAGCAGATTGCGGGCGCCAAGGCTCAGCGTACATCTTCCATTCCTCGCGGGACGGTATTGTCCGTGCGTCCCTTACCTCGCCCTTTATACTCGGTAACTGGGAATGAAGCTTCTTCGCATGTCGCTCAAATGTATCTTACAGCTTCGCCGCCCGGGTCTGATCACCTCGAATGGCCTGATTCTGTTCTACAATTGTCGTTTCGTCCCTCACGTGAACTCGTCTGCTGTCCGTCGGAGAACATGTCTATCAGAAGCTTGATTCTAACCCAACGCTGCTTGCAGTCGATCGTTTCGTGGGACGGCCTCCCGTATACCGACTATTTGCTGCAATGGCTGTTTTACATTCGAACGACTCCTGGTAGAATTTCAATAACCACAAATGAGCGATCGGCTCTGAGGCATGCCTATCTTGATGGACACTCGTGTAATCTGAATCGGGACCTCGTGATAGAATGCATGGACGGTGGTAGTCAACCTTGATCAGCAGCTGCGAACGTCGTTGCCGACCACACTGGCAAAGTCATTGCCATTGACACTGTTAACACCTACCCTTTGGTTCCACTGGCGTCCATCGTGAATACACGAGGCACCAATCTTCTCGAACTTTGCGCATGCATACTCGTCTCCGACCCAGCGAATTAGGCCTAGAAGCCGAGCGCCTCTCAGGTTGCTGACAAATGGCACCTCTTCCATCCTGCCCTCCTGATCTTTGTTGTACATATGGTACATAATGTACACATCACCTGTTATACAATCCCAGCCCGACATCCAGACCCACGTTATCCGATCCTGATACGCAGTCAATTCCCGCCGACACTTGCATAGATTAATTCCGCAGCCCTAGGAGACCGTGGCTCTATAGAACAAGGGAAGGGTTTAGGATGTCTATTGAACATTTTTGTTAAAAGGGCACGAGCAATATCGACCGGATATACTCACGAAGCTAACCCTGCCATTATGAACTCAGGAGTAAAGTCGACTTCATGGCAAGCTTCGTTCCTGGCCTTCCCAATGCGTAGGGTGGCGAGGATAGATACTGCTGCTGCCCAAAAACTTTGGTCTCCGATATGTCTGCCTGGGCAGATGCGACTACGAATTGCTCAAGGCTGTTACCGTCCGTCATATACAAACACCACACCCACCGACCGTAGCCAAAAAGCGGGTAATTTGTACCTTCAGCAAGTGTCCCGCTGGCAGTTAGGTGCCTTCTAGGGTTGAATGCGGTGGGATTTGGGTAACGTTTTTCATTCCGGGTTATCGCCCTGGTCACAGAAATTGAAGTTTATTGAACCAAAAAAAAAAAAAGGTTCCATACCAAAAATTCGTCATCACAATCACACCTATATGAAGTCGAGTGAGATGCAGCGTGGCTATAGAGCAATTTAACTTGCCCTTTGGGATATGCATGCCGTTAAAAACGTCGGCTGTCGTTGTCATATGTGGAAGTGGCACTGGACGGGTGCCCGTGAGGCCTTTTCCGCCCGACTTGGTGAAGCGACTCACATAAGGGGTTGATGGGATGCCATCGCAGGGTCTCTATAAGTACAGCCTCGACGTAAGGAAGGTTCTCTCTATCCCTGAACTCGGGCAAACGGGCATCTCCAACCACTCGATCGATTTCTTCTTGAGCTTCGGTTTGCACCTCTGGATTTAACACCATAGCAAGAAGGAAGATGAGGAGTGCGGATGATGTCTGCGCTGGTGGGTTAGAGGTGGCAAAGTAAAACTACATAAACTTACTGTTTCTGCTCCACCTGTGTTGGAAAATGAGTTGTATGTTGCGGATAGAGCATACGAAACTCAGCTCACCAAGGAACACAGTGGCTGCCACTCCTTTGATTAATTCATCCTTAGAGGAAGCAAACTCCTTCCCAATTTCCATCTCGAATAAGTCACCCACAATTGACGTCGTTGGCGTGCCAGCCGCCTGCGAAATATTAAGAGTTTGATGTTTGAAGTCACGTAGCTCGTGCAAAACTTGCCGTTCTATCCTGCACATACTTTACAGGATCGTCTAGCACCGTCCTCGCAAGAGCGCGACTCTCCGCTGCCCGCTTTTTGATCCGTCCGCCAGGGAGCCACGATGGGATGTATGCCACTGAAATGGCATTGTTTGCGCTGATCTCCGACGTCGTTAAAATGGACTCACAGAGTGGGATAGCGTTAAGTAACATGGCACGTTCTGCAGTCAATATATTTGTGATTAGTTCCACTAGATGTGCGACATTGGTCACAAAAGGGTCGTCCTTGGGAGCAACATCATATCCGTAAGTGATTGCCATGATTATGGCAGCAGATAACCTGGAAGATCGTCAGAACATGCGGGGTCTGCAGATCAGCACTACGTACGTAGCGGCGTGCTTTGGATAGTCGTGCGGTGTGGAGAGCAAGTTCACAAGGAACTGATGCACCTTTTCCATCTGCACGGCTTGGTATTTCTTGGAGGTTTGCTTACTAAAGGCGACGTTGAACATCTTTCGATGTAGCCTCCATTTGTCACCGTACGGGAGAAGGCCTGTATTGAAATCCAGTCCGAATCTGGGATCCAGTGGAATCATGCGGTTAATGTGCAGTAAATGGTGGATGATTACAATTGACTCTCACAGCTCATTTGCTAACAGATATGGGCGATCAGAGTAGATCGACGACCGTTTCACCATCAGTTCATGAAATATTTCTTCGTCGTTGATGATAATAAATTCGTAGCCCAATATGGTACAGTATGATATTCCACCTGTGGGATACACAATGAGAAGCATACCAAATATATGCCGACCGAGATCACGTACCATAGCGCTTCCCCCACTGTTCGTACGTTGTCCACGGTGTAGAAATGTCTATATCAAGAACATTCCCTACGAAGGGAAGACCCCTTGGACCTGGAGGGAGCGGAAGACCATTCCTGAGAGCTCGGTTTCTCCGTTTGCTGATGGCAAACATGAGACAATTCGCCATGGCGAAAAAAGCGACAACCTGTAGAGCGTGCATTTCAACGTTGTGGTGATCGTGCGTGGAGGGAGGGGTATATATGCGAGTTTTAAATCTCAGTCAGCGCTCAATCACTTCCCTGTGAGGAGAACACATTGAGGGGATATTGATGTGGGATGGACAGTCGTATCGGGTAACGTCATGAGCGGCGTCCACATGCCAGTAAAGTCTCAGATTGGGAGCGGGTACCATCAGCCACTGTCAAGTGATTGGGAGGATCGCCCATGATGCATGAAGTACTGAACCTGATTGATGGTCATGGACCTACATATCAAGCCTAAACTCGCCACCGAGGTAAGTTACGCCAGCTTGACGATTGTTTTCCCACGAGATGCGGTTGTCTTACCTCAACTCCATGTAGCCCCTCAAGGCCTCTCACCTCCTGTTGCTTTCCGTCTATGGGCCGACAAGGCGCTGTACTTCACCCAGTGTTCGGATTTTTTGTAAAACCACAACAACTCGATGATCGTTGGTCTAATTTTTGGGAAAGAAGATCATGCTCTGGGCTAAACTCCATAAAATTCGAGATGAAAAAATGATGGGAAAGACGGTGTGAATGATGAGAATGAAACCCGTAGGTCTGGTTTCACCTAGTATTTCCGGAGGGTGTCACACAAAAAGCTCGGCAGCCGCGAAAACTCAGCGGCATTGCGGTGCCACTGAGTTCTTCATCCTGGGTAGTCTAGTCGATGTACTAGCCCTTGGAGTCTCAGAAGAATGCCTGCACCGTCACGGTAAGATCACATTAGTCCTGTGGCATAGTGCAGTGGCGGGAACTAATCCACTTTGTGTTAGTACACTCTGAATTAATACACGCCGTTCGCCGTGCTTTCGGTCTTGAGGCTTGACAGCCCATAGATGGCCTTTACATTGCGCACGAAATTTGGCTACTTTCAATCCAGCATGCCTAGCTCCTAACCGAGCGCCACAACTACTAACTGATCACGGAGCACTAGCTGGCATTCTCACCCATCGTTTGCCTCTGAACGGCATGTCTCACACATCGGTGGATTCAAGAGGCCGTTGAATAAGATGGCCAGTGAAGGCTTGATCGTCACCCAAAACCAGAGAGCGTGATTCGACTTAAATCAAGCAAGTGCACGAAAGGTGGTTCATGAGATTGAACTCTACAATTTTCTTGGATGCCGAGTTGGCCAAGCCTGCAATCGTAAAGGACTATCAAGCATCTCGACTCGATGATTCGCTCAGAACCTGAATCATTTATTACGAGGATTCCTCCAACAGAGCGGAGAAAAGAGTTTAACAGCACTGGTTTTATCCTACACTCCTTTTTGTCGCTTTAGTGGGCGATCGCTGAAAAGACAAATGATCTAATCAGCCTGTTCTACACTCCTGATCTTTGGTACATCTTTGGTACATAAACTGACTTAGTACACGAGCCCAACATGCCCGATTGCGATACGCAGTTACTTTGCGCCAGTGCTCGCATAGATTATTTCCACAGTCCTTGAGGACCTTGCCTCTATAAGACAAGGGAAGGGCTGAGGACGTCTAACATTTCGCTCAGAAGGGTACAAATAATATCGACGGGAGATACTCACGAAATTATCCCTGTTGTGAACTTAGGAGTAAAGTCGACTTCGTGACCAGATTCGTTCCTAGCTTTCCCAACGCATAGAGTGGCGAGAATAGATACCATTGCTGCCCAAAGACTCTGGTCTCCGACACACTTGCCAGGGCGGACGCGACTGCGAATTCCACCTGCACTCAGTGTTGTTACTGCCCATCATTTGAAAACACCAAGCTCACCGACCAAGTCCGAAATACGGGGAGGCCGTGCCTTCAGCAAGCGTTCCGCCAGTGGTCAGGTGCCTTTCAAGGATGAAGGAAGCAGGATTTGGGTAACACACTTCATTCTGGGTCATCGCCCTTGGTCACAGGAATGAAAGAAATTTATTAAGTCAGCCAATCTATGCAATACCAAAAATTCACGAGTACAGTTGCACCTGATTGAAGTTGAGTGAGATGCAGTGTGGCTAAGGAGCGTCGTAACTTGTCCTTTGGGATATACATACCGCGAAACAAGTCGGCGGTCGTTGTCATATGTGGAAGCACTGCGCGACGGATGTCGATGAGGCTATTTACGCCTGGCTTAGTGAAGTGACTCACTCAAGGGGAGAACGGGGTGCCATCGCAGGGTCTCTAAAAGTACAGCCTCAACGTAAGGAAGATTCTCCCTATCCCTGAACTAGGGCAGACGGGTATCTCCAACCACGCGATCGATTTCTTCCTGAGCTCTGACCTGCGTCTCCGGATGTAACATCATAGCAAGGAGGAAGATTAGGAGTGTGGATGATGTCTGCGTCGGACTTAGTGGTGGCAGCATAAGAATACATAAATTTACCGTTTCTGCTCCGGCTGTATCGGAAAATGATTTGCATGTTACGGGTAGAACATGCGAGACTCAACTCACCAAGGAATACAGTAGCTGCTACTGCCCTGACAGCTTTGCCCTTGGAGACCGTCAAGTCCTTTCCAGTTTCCATCTCGAATGAGTCATTCACAAAAGATGTCGTTGCCGTACCAGCGACCTGCAAGATGTCAAGTCTTCAATATTCGAATTCACGAAGCTCTTGCAGAACTTGCCATTCTAACCTGCGCATACTTTACAGGATCGTCCAGTACCACTCGTGCAACGGCGCGGCACTCCTCTGCTTGCTTTTTGAACTCTCCGCCGGGAAGCCAAGGTGGGATGTATTTCACTGGAATAACATTGATCTTCCCCGCGAAGAAGGCGAAAAAAAGCACACACAGAGGGGAATAGTATCAAGTAAAGTTGCACGTTCCGAAGTCAGTGCGTTTATCATCAGTTCCACTAGATGTCCGATGCTGATCACAAAAGGGTCGTCATTCGAAGAAAGTTCATATCCATAAGTGATTGACATGATGATTGCAGCAGACGACCTGGCAGATTGTCAATCTACGCGGGATCTGCGAGTCAGGACTATGTATGTGGTAAAGTGGTTTTCATAGTCAAGTGGTGTGGAGAGCAGATTCATCAGGAAATCAACACTTTACTATTTTTGACCTTTTTGTGACTTTTTTTGACTTTTTTGTGACTATTGTGACCATTTGTGACTTTTTGGGAAGGAACCTACTATCTGTACTTTTTTTTTTGACCATATACAGCATTTTGAAGAATGAAAGGAGAACAGAATCTATTGAAACAACTAAGTGATGATATATCTAAGCCAAGAAGACTAGAGAATGTCTGAAAATTCAGAGATATTGAGCCATTGGTGTGATGCACACTGTCTGAGAGAAAAATCACAATATCTCTTTGGAACCTCCATCAATTTGAATGTATGTGGTATCTACTGAAAGCTGTGAATCAGGTGGTTTGAACAAGACCAAAATCAGCAAGAAAAGTGCAGCCATGCCTGCAGGACATGGGTAATGATAGTAGATTCCTTCCCAAAAAGTCACATTAGTCACAAAAAGTCAAAAATAGTAAAGTGTTATTTTCCTGATGAACTTCCTGGGTAATTGATGCACCTTCTCCATCTGCATGCCTTTGTACTTCTTGGAGGTTTGCTTATTAAACATGAAGTTGAGCATCTTTAGATGTAGCTTCCATTCATTGCCATATGGGAGAGAGCCAGTGGCAAAATCCACTCCGAATCTAGGAACCAATAAAATCATGTGGTTAATATGTAGCAGATGGTGGGTGATTGTGATATATTCTCACAGATGGTTCATCCATGACTATGGGCAATCAGAGTAGGTCAATGACTGTTTTACCATCAGTTCACGAGCTATTTCCTCATCATTGATGATAACACATTCATGGCCAAGCAGGGTAGAATATAAGATCCCACCTACAAAACATGCTGTGGGATGAATGATAAAGATATACTGGTCAAAATCATGTACCATACCACTTCCCCCATCGTTCATATGTTGTCTGCAGTGCAGAGATGTCTATGTCAAGAACATTTCCTACAAGGGGAAGACCCCTTGGACTGAGCGGAAGTGAAAGACCATTTCTGAGAGCATTGTTCCTCCATCTATTGATGGAAAACACAAGATAAGTTATCAACAGAAGAAATGCAATGACTTTTGCAGCATGCATTTTGAAGTATGGTGATAGGCTGTGGGAGATGAGGGGGGTCCACATGCTGAGAGTGCATTTTAAATCGCAGATACAGCACTTAGTGTCAGTGTCCGCAGTAGGTACAATACAGTTTGCCTCAAGCACTTTCCAGTATACTATGAGTCACCAGTGGCACTTACTGCAGTACCAGGAGAATTGTAAGAAGATCATCCATTATCACATCCAGACTCCAAACAAACCCTCATTAGTTTGCCATGTTCTTCTGATGAGTATTATTGCTGTGGCTTGTACTGACTGATCATCTTCAGGAATGTTTCTAAGGTACCCAATTTCCACCCTGCCTCTGAGAGACTAGATCTTTGAGTGGAATTCAAATCCAACGACTTGGAGTGGACATGTGCAGGTTGACTCATGACTGAAACCTATCTAAACCTTCTGCCATTCCCTTGCAGATCAGATGGTAACCATATGACAGGTCATCCCACTCATTTGGTTGCTTTCTTGCATTCTTTTTGCATTCATGGTTAGAAAAGTTATGTATTGACTTCACTCCTCTCCAACCTAGCCAATTGGATTGGATCTTGAAGCCAACCACTTTCTGGGTTTTTTTTGAGTCTGGCTTACCATTGCAATATTCACAGAGCTTTCGAACTCGAGACCTTCGATCCACATTACAGAAGTAATATCGTCAAATGGCAGGGAAGATATCTTGCTGTTACCACAGAATTCCCTGAATCACGACACCATGGTGTTGAATAGTAGGGTTAGCAGGTTTCATCGACTATGGTTTTTTCTTGCAGGCCAAAAACAGCCCAATGCTTGTTCAGTGGCTCGTCCAACTTCACCTGTTCATTTGAGGTGCACCTGCTAAATCATTCATTTTGCATACCACTTTATGCCAACCCCTATTGAGTGTGACATTGCTATGGTACATCAGTAGACCACTTTGTGAGCTGGTAGTCCTAGGGAATCTGTCCAGTGCTGGACAGCTCTGGCCAGCTCTGGCCAGCAAAAGTGATTTACTGATGTAATAGTCCCATGGTTTAGTGCAGTGAAGGAAACTAATCCATTTTGTGTTAGTGCACTCATACATGTTGGATGCCTTATATATGCATGGCCTGATCGACGGTTGCAACCTTGGCAGCCTGTATTGAATAAAATGACCCTCACCCTAATCGAGCATCACGACTACCAACCGATCCCGGAGTACTGGTTGGCGTTCTCACTGATCGTTTTCCCCACAGTGCAGTGCACAGCCTGTACTACGGTCTATCACCTGCTGAACGGCATGTTTTACGCTTCGGTGGGTCCGAAAGGCCATTCGATAAAATGGCCAGTGAAGTCTTGATCGTCACCCAAAATTGGAAAGTGTGATTCGACTTGGGCTAAGCGAATTGCACGAAGGGTGGTCCGCGAGATAGGATTCTGTAATTCTCTTGGATGCCGAGTTGACTAAGCTTGCAAACATGAAGGACCGCAAGCCCTGGGTTTAGCAATTTTCCATAACTGAGGCGGTCATACCAAGCATCCCGACTCGACGATTCGTTCAGAATCTCAATCACAATTGCTATGGGGATTCTTCCAATAGGGCCAAGGAAGAGTTTGGCAGCTCCGGTTCAATGCTATCCTACACTGCATATCACGGGGGGTTCCTCCGATACAGCCGAGAATGTTCAACGGCACTGGTTCTATCCTACGCTCCATTTCTGTTTTAGGGGCTATCGCCAAAAAAACCAAATGATCTTAGATGGTACATCACGTAGGTACACATTGCTTGTTATACAATCAACCAAACTGCCAGACACAAGATATCCAATTGCTAGATGCAGTCAATTCGCACTGATGCTAGCATAGATCAATTCTGCAGCCCTAGGCGACCGTGCTTCTATAGAACAACGGAAGGGTTTAGGATGTCTAGTATATCTGTTAAAAGGGCACGAGTTATGTCAATGGGATGTACTATACTCACGAAGTCATCCCTGTTGTGAACACGGGAGTGAAGTCGATTTCGCGACCAGCGTCATCTCGAGCCTTCCCAATGCGTAGGGTGGCAAGGATAGACACCATCGCTGCCCAAATGCTCTGTTCTGCGACATACTTACCGGGGCATATGCGACTACGGATTCCACCTCCGCTGAGTGCTGCCACAATCCCCTTACGTGCAAACACCGCACTCACCGACCGAGGCCAAAATATGGTGGGGCTGTGCCTTCAGCAAGCGTTCCACCAGCGGTCAGGTGCCTTTCAGGATTGAAGGCAGCGGGATTTGGGTAACGCACTTCATTCCGGGTTATCGCCCTTGGCAACAGGAATTGAAGAAATTTGTTAAATCAACAGAATTATTCCATACCAATAATTCACTACCACAGTTGTGTCTAAATGAAGTCGGGTAAGATGCAGCATGGCTGTCAAGGGAGATGGCTTGCCTTTTGGGATATACATGCCATGACAAACGTCTGCTGCCGTTGTTGTATGTCGAAGCACTGCCAGAGAGGTGTCAATGAGGCCGTCGCGCCTGGCATAGCGAAGTGACTCACTTAAGGGGACAATGGGTTTCCATCGCAGGGTCTCTATAAGTAAAGCCTCGACGTAAGGAAGATGCTCTCTGTCTTTGAACTCGGGTAGACGGGCATCTCCAACCACGCGATCAATTTCTTCCTGAGCTTTGACCTGCGTCTCTGGATATAACACCATAGCAAGAAGGAAGACAAGGAGTGCGGATGACGTCTGCATCGGACTTAGTGGTGGCAGCGTAAAAATACATATACTCACCGTTTCTGCTCCAGCTGTATCGGAAAATAAATTGCATGTTACATGTGGAACAAGCAAGACTCAACGCACCAAGGAATACAGTGGCCGCTACTGCCTTTACAGCTTCGTCTTTGAATGAAACCAAATCGTTCCCAATTTCCATCTCGAACAAGTCACCCACAAAAGATGTCGTTGCCGTACCAGCCGCCTGCAAGATGTTAAGACCTCGATATCTGAATTCACGTAGCTGCCGTAAAACTTGCCATTTTATCCTGTACATATTTTATTGGGTCATCCAACGCAATTCTGGCGAGAGTGCGGGACTCTGTTGCTTGCTGTTTGAACTGTCCGCCAGGGAGCCACGATGGGATGTATGCCACTGAAATGGCATTGATCCTTCCGCAAAGGCGTCGTGAAGATGGACTCACGGAGGGGGATGGCATTAAGTAAAGCGGCACGTTCCGAAGTGAATGCAATTGTGGCTAGTTCCGCCAAACTCACGACGTTGGTAACGAAAGGGTCGTCGTTGGAAGCAACTTCATAACCGTACGCTGATTGCCATGATGATGGCAGTAGACAACCTGGAAGGCCGTCACCACACTGGGTCTACACATCACTACTACGTACGTGGCAAAGTGATTTGGATAGTCGAGTGGTGTGGAGAGCAAGTTCACGAGTAATTGGTGCACCTTGCTCATCTGTACGAGTTGGTATTTCTTGGTGATTTGCTGACTAAATGCGACGTTATACATCCTTCGATGTAACCTCCATTCGTCACCGTATGGGAGAAAGCCTGTGTTGAAGTCCAGTCCGAATCTAGCACCCAGAGGAACCACACGGTTAATGTGTAGCAGATGGTGGATGATTACGATCGACTCACAGCTCGTTGGTACATAGGGGTGGGCGATCAGAATAGATCGACGGCCGTTTCAAAATCAGTTCATGAGCTATTTCCTCATCATTGATGATAACAAAACCCTGGCCAAGTACAGTACAATATGAGATTCCGCCTACGATACAAACAGTGAGATGCATACTAAATATTTACTGGTCGAAATCACGTACCATACCGTTTTCCCCATTGTTCGTACGTTGTCCACGGTGCAGCAAAGTTTATGTCAAGAAGATTGCCTACTAAAGGAAGACCCTTCGGACCAGGAGGAAGTGGAAGACCATTTCTGAGAGCTCTCCGTCCCCATCTCTTGACGGCAAACGCAAGACATATCAACAAAGCGGAAAAGGCGGCAAGAGATACAGTGTGCATTGTGAGGTGCAATGATGCTGTGGGGGGTCCGCATGGTGAGGGCACATTTTAAAAGCTCAGAAGCAGCACGTAGCGTCTGGAGTTGGCGCTCGATCACTTCCCTAGAAGGAACACATCAAAACGATACCTAATGTGGATGGAGGTCGTTCTCTGCTATTATCTTCGTTTGACTGCCGCCACAGAATCTTGGCTCATGTAAAGATGTTCCAGTGCTATTCCCACCGTTTTCCATGACAGGGAGATAAAATGGAGAGGCTCTGGTGTCCTCATGGTACGGTGAGTGCACCAGATTGAGAACAATTATCGTTAATTGATTGGCAAGGCTGTGGACCGCGACCCGTGACAACCTAACGGTTTGGGGCGAGAACAGAAAATACACCACACTGTCTGCAAAACAGTGAGGCTAAGCACATTTAATCCACCGTTTGCAATTGCGCACTCACACGTGTAGTACGATTGTACATAATAAAGTGTGGGGCTCGAACTTTCATCCCCTTGCGGGATAGGTATAGAGTAGATGTGTGGGCGTCCCCATTTTCCTCACTTGCCTGTTGATCTGTGTAATAAAGTTGACTTCCGGAACCCGCCAGATCATGTTATGCAGCTTCTATTACATACGAGGCACTTACCATTGTTTATTGCGATTCAGTCGGGAAGTGCCACCTGCGGCTGCCCAAACCTCGCTTGAAACGGAGTAAGACAACCTAGGAGGGCAAGGTACATGGGCTGGTGCACCTACTACAGGAGAGTCAATGGCCAGGACGAACAGGTGCTGTTGACAGATGTGGTGCGTTGGTTCCCACGACAAATCTTCTAATCCACTTCAGTCTTCTCCTGCAGCAGCAATGAGTACTACGCACGAGTTCTCCCCCTGCAGCACCTATTATCAAGGGAATTACAGGAAGATCATCCATTATCATCCCCAAAGAGATCGTCACTCCCCGATGTTCTCCTTTGTGCGAGTATTATGCCCCATCGCAGTACCAAGCGTCTTCAGCAACGTTCCCACAGGCGCAAGGCACCTGTGCAATTTCCGTCCCCGGCTCTGAGCCACCAGATCTTTTAGGGGAACTCGAAACCAACGATTTGGAATGGACCTGTGCAGGCTGAAACCTGTGTAAACTCTGCCCTCGCAGATCAGATGATGACTATGTGTCAAGTCATCCGCCCATCCATTGCGTCGGTTCCTTGCATTCTTTTCGCATGCGGGGTTAGACAAGTTATGTACTGACCTTACTCCTCTCCAATTTAGCCGATTGGGCCTGCAAGTTGACGCTTTCCGGGGTTATTCTTAGGTCCGGCTGCCCATTGTAGTGTTCACAGAGCTGCTTTCGATACGCGGGACCCTCGATGCGCTTCACAGAAGTGATATTGTCAACATAGTGGTGAAAGTATCCTGCCGTTACCGCAGAATCCTCTGAATCACGACCCCATAATGTTGAACAGTGAGGTTGGTGAATTCCATGGACTACGTTTATTTCTCGCAGGTCGCAAGTAATGCAATACTTGCTCGGCGGCTTGTCCAACCTTACCCGTTCATCTGAGGTGCACATGCTGAATCATATCCCATACAACATTGTATTAAGGTTGCCCCCTGTTGGGTGCGGCATTATCACGGTAAGATCACATTAATCCCGTGGTATAGTGCAATGGTGGAAACTAATCCATTTGGTGTCACTGCACTCATAAATGTTGGATTTCGTATATACGCATGCTGGCCTCACGGATGATTGTGGCCTTCACAGACCAAAATTTCGGCCTGTACATTGCGCACCCAAATCGGTTACGTTGGATCACTATCTTGGGAGCGCAAGTTAACGCTCCCGCTCATTTACCCAATCGTATACCGCACAGCCTATCTTACGATCTCCTGCATGGCATGTTTACATTAGTGAGTCCAATAGGCCAGAATAAAGCAGGTTTGACTCGACGGTTGGTTCAGAATCTAGATTACATGACACGGGGGGTTCCTCCAATGAAGCTGAGAAGAGTTTAACAGTACAACGCATCTTTTTTTGGTTTTGATAGGCATATTGCTAAAAGGGCAAATCATCAAATCAGCCTATCCTACACTCCTGATCATCGTTATATATACGGTACATCACGCAGATTCGTTACTACACCCAATCGCGATACGCAATCAATTCGCGCCAACGCTTGCATAAACTAATTGCGCAGTCTTAGAGGACCGTGGCTCTATAGAACAATGGAAGGGTTTAGGATGCCTAGTTTTCTGTTAGAAGGGTATGGTAACGTCCACGGCATACACTCACGGAGCTAACCCTTTGGTGAACTCAGGGGTGAAGTCAATTTCGTGACCAGCTTCGTCTCTAGCCTTCCCAACGCGTAGGGTGGCAAGGATAGATATAACTCCTGCCCAGATGCTTTGGTCTGCGATATGCCTGCCTGGGCAGATGCGACTACGAATTTCACCTGAACCGTTACTGTCCGAATATGCAAGCACCAAACTCACCGACCGAGACCGAAATACTGGGAAGACGTACCTTCGGCGAGCGTTCCGCCGGCGGTTAGGTGCCTTTCAGGGTTGAAGACAGCGGGGTTTGGGTAGCGCTTTTCGTCCCGGGTCATCGCCCTTGGTCACAGGATTTTACATGAGAAATCCATGGCACCAAGAAATAGTTCCGCACCACATATTCGTTATCACAGTTGCACCTACAGTATATTAAGTCAAATAAGAACTGAGATGCGGCATAACTGACGAGGGATACGACTTGCCTTTTGGGATATACATGCCATTGAAAACGTCCACTGTTGTTGTCTTGCGAGGAAGCACTGGATGAGGGCTGGTGAGGTTATTTCCGTCTGACTTAGTGAAGTGACTCACATAAGGGTTTGATAGGGTGCCATCGCAGGGTCTCTAAATATACAGCCTGGACGTAAGGAAGATTATCTCTGTCCTTGAACTCGGGAAGGCGGGCATCTCCAACCACTCGATCGATTTCTTCCTGAGCTTTGGCTTGTGCCTCTGGATATAACACCATAGCAAGAAGAAAGACAAGAAGGATGGCAGCTGTCTGCGCAGGGGACTCAGTGATGGTAGTATATAGGTCTGCATGTACTCACTGTTTCTGCTCCACCTGCATTGGAAAATGAAATGTATGTTATGGTAGAACATGAGACCCAACTCACCAAGGAACACAGTGGCTGCTACTGCCTTGACTGTTTCATCCTTACGGGATGCCGAATCATCCCCAAGTTCCATCTCGAACAGGTCACCCACAATTGATGTCGTTGCCGTACCGGCCGCCTGAAGATATAACACTTCCGTATCTAGATTCATAAAGCTCCTGAAAAACTTACCGTTCGGTCCCGCACATATTTGACAGGATCTTCCAGTACCACTCGCGCAAGAACGCGGCACTCCGCTGCCTGCTTTTTGTATCCTCCACCAGGAAGTCACGACGGGATGTATGTCACTGAAAAACATTGATCTTCCCGCGAAGACGCCAGGAAAGTGAACTCACGGAGCGGGATAGCGCTAAGTAGAGTGGCGCGTTCCGTTGTCATTGCACTTACGAACAATTCTACTAGACCCGCGATGTTATCCACAAAGGGGTCGTCCTCGGGGGCAACATCATAACCATAAGTGATTGCCATGATTATAGCCGCAGACAAACTGGAGGAATCAGTCAAATTGGACGTAGTCTGCAGATCGAGACTACGTACGTGGCAAAGTGCTTTGGATAGTCAAGCGGTGTGGAGAGCAGGTTCCCGAGTAACTGGTGCACCTTCTTCATTTGCACGGCTTTGTACTTCTCGGAGGCTCGCTTGCTAAATGCGACGTTGAACATCCTTCTATGTAGCCTCCACTCGTCCCCGTACGGGAGAAGTGCTGTGATCCAATCGAGACCGAATCTAAGGTCCGGTGAAATCGTGCAGTTATTTTCTCCGTAAAGTGTGAATTATCATGATGGACTCTCACAACTCGTTCGTACGCAAGTATGGGCGATCAGAGTAGACTGACGACCGTTTCACCATCAGTTCATGATGTATTTCCTCATCGTTGATGATGACAAGCTCCTGGCCAAGCAGGGTACAATATATGATTCCACCTACAAAATACGCCGTGAGACTCGTACTAAAGATATGCTAGTCGAAGTCACATACCATACCGCTTCCCCCATTGCTCGTACGTTGTCCACGGTGCAGAAATGTCCATGCCAAGAACATTTCCTACAAGGGGAAGGCCCCTTGGACCGGGCGGAAGTGGAAGACCATTTCTACTGAGTGCTTTGTTTCTCCATCTCTTGATCGCAAACACGAGATAAGTTATCAGAGGGAAAAAAGCGATAAGCTTTACAGCATGCATTCCGACGTGTCGTGATACTGCGGAGGTGAAGGAGGTCTAGGTCTACATGTTGAGAGCGTGTTTTAAATGTCAGAAACAGAGCCTGGTGTCATCGAACACTTAGATAGAAGGTACCGTATCTGGAAAATATTCCACCTGATGTACGATGGATAGCCGCATCGTTCCGTGCCATTTCATGTCTAGCTCCTACGCTTGAGTGCCTCCCGGAGCCTTGGCTCTTGCAGGTGAAGATATTTCAGTCCCATTTCCACTAGTTTCATATGACAGGGAGAGAACATCAAAACATGATAGTGGTTCGTCAAATCGAGTTGGACTGGGAATATGTACCTACATTCGACCAGTTGTGTACTGGTCTAACAGGCTGCTGAGTCCCACGAACATAAGAAGGTTCAGTTCCGGGAGCCGACCCAATCACACGCACGTCCTTGCTATTACGAGTCCCCTGGCAAACACCCATTACAGTATCAGGGGAACTGTAAGAGAATCGTCGATTATCAGACCCAAACAAACCCTGAGTCAGTCCGCGATGCTCTCCTTTTTGTGAGTACTATGCCGCATTGCAGTGACTTGCTCTGACCGAGCCTCTTCAGCAACTCTTCCACAGACGCCAAAGCACCCAATTTCCACCCTGTCTCTGAGAGACCAGATCTTTTTGGGGAACTCGAAACGAAAGACTTGGAATGGACTTGTGCAGGTGGATTTGCGACTGAAACGCAAACCTTCTACCATTTCCTAGAGGATGAGACGATGATCATGTGTCAAGTGATCCACTCATCCATTGGGTCAGTTCATTGTATTTTCCTCCGTCTGTCTCGCTGTGAATGATCTACTTTTAAATAGATTATGGTCTCCGACCATTCAGTTCACCTGCAAAATCTACAATCCCAACACCAAAGAGACGATTTGGCGCTCGGATCCATGTCTCCAATTTCACTACACCACCTCCCGGTCTTGACAAGCGTTCGTCTAGGGCGGACCAGTTCTCAATTACCTGCAAACCTTCTACAGACCCGACTTATCCAGAAATGTACGCCATCCGTGCCAACTTGTCTGACGACCTGCAAGTATCCCTAGATGTCTTACGTCCGGCCCTTGTGCCGGGGTTCAAAGTTGGCAGTGGTCCAAACGGCGGGTTCTCGTACTTTGGTCCCAACAAGGATAAGCCGGAAGGTTATGTTGTACATCGCTTCTGGCCACGTACCGTTGCCAACGGACATTTCATTCACAAGGGCCGAGCAGTCGAAGCGAAGGGCGTAGGGATGATGGTTCACGCCATCCAAGGCATGCGCCCCAATTTGGTCGCAACTAGATGGAATTTTGCACACTTCCAAAGCAATGCCTACGGAGGTGTCTCAGCCATTCAGATGGAGTTTACGACCTTGGAGACACACGGCCGTCGCGGACCAGGATCTGGAGGGGTCACGGTAAACATCGGATCGCTCGTCCTAGGGGGAAAACTGGCAGCCATCACTGCGGAGACTAAATGGCCTGATGAAAAACAGTCGGACGATACTGACATCATTTCGCGAGCCGTTCATGTGAACCCCGTTTACTGATGCCGAAACGGGGTACAAACAACCTTCTGCTTTAGTCTTCCAATGGGCCGGACAGTCATTGCTAGAAAATTCTCCGGGGAAAATATCTGCCACCATTAAGGTCGATGTGGGAGGTCCCACCGCACCCAAAGGACTCGTGGAGAAGGTCGATGTCTTGGCAGAAATTCCCTACGTCATCAAGACGATGGTGAACTATGTCGCTGGAACTAAGCCATATATATACCAGGTGAGTCCTAATGTCTGTCAACGTGCCTTTTCGTGACACGTCCTATCAGTGGCAAAACCGTGTCAAGCTATTCGTCCGCGGACCTGATACCCTCATCCCAGGCTTATCAAATGGTCTGGAGTTGGAAGGGCCTCTCTATAACGAAGCTTCTTTCATCTCTTGATGGCAGCGAGGCTACATCACCGAAGATTAGGATTGCATACTGCCACTTATGGTGTGGAATACAATGCTGGCGGAACAACAGAAACGTGTACAACAGGATGCAGAACGTATCGCTATATAGCTAGTTTGGTTAGTTCACGAGACGAAATTTCGTCATCAATACTTGCGAAAGAAATGTGGAATCAGGGCTCTCATAATTGTCGTATCAGGCGTTCTCTCCCAGCTGAGCGGCTGATAAACCAACAGGGGAAATCAACAGGATGTCTTTTTAACCTTGTTAGAATGAAAGAAGATTTTGAACGGCCGGATCACTTACACAGAGATGCCGGTAGGTGAACTTCCGCTCAACCGGGATCTCCTTACCATATGCGTCTTTCGCCTTCGTTATGCGAAACATGGAAAGGATAGAAACGATCGCCATCCATAGAAACGCTTCGGCTGCAAACCGACCAGGACCTACCAACGCAACTCGGGATACATAGAAGTTGTAAACGTGCCAACACTCACATATACGCCTTCCGAGGCCGAAAATTGGATCGCTGGTTGTCGCTGGATCATTGACGAGTTTGCCATCTTCAGTCATGAACCTCTCGGGCTTGAAGTCCTCCATATCATCAAACTTTATCTTGTTGCGGCTCATTGCCCTTTTCAACAGGAATTAAATAGATAGTTTGGACTTGGTCAGGGTTGATGGGTCACGAGCTTACCATACATTAATAATCACCAATGCACCTGTGAGGCATGTGAGCCAGGAAAGTGCCTGTAGTAGCCACTCTGTCTCCTAACCTTTCGGTATGTAGTAACCATTGCAAACGTCATCGGTGGCTTGTTGCATGTGGAATTCCTGAAAGAACAGTAATTTAGTATCCAGATAAACGGGCCAGACGGACGCTTTACCTAGTGGTGTGACCGGGCTCCACCTTAACAGCTCGTGTAGGACGGCGTCAATATAGGGGAGAGATAACCTGTCATCAAAGCTGGGGAGTTTTTCGGTTCCAATCACCCGATCTATCTCTGCCTGCGCCTTCGTTTGGACCTCCGGATAGAGAAGCATGGCAAGAATAAACGAATGTAACAAAGAGGAGCTCTACAGGGGGGAGCACGTCAGTGAATCAGTGCCACCACCAATAATAGTTAAAGGTAGACTCACTGTTTCGTACCCAGCTTTGAGCCCTTCGGTCAGTGGCAGATCAAGCAGACGCATGGATATTACGGCTTACCGATGAATGCTGTTGCGGCGACTGCTTTGATGGCGAATTCCTGTGTATCGTAATCGACTGTTTCGTCGATTTGAGATAAACAGTCTGCCACTATAGATGGCGGAGCATTGCCTGACGCCTTCCCGAAGCGTCAAATAGGAGTAATATCCGCAAGGCACCCGAACAACGCACGATATCCTTTTTCGTTAGATTGAATGGCTCGTTAAGCACTTGGGCCGCCAACTGACGTGAATACGCTGCCTGGCGCTTGAACCCAGCTCCGGGAAACCAGTCAGGGAAATGCTGGACTAAGAGAGATATCAGCACCTTCAAAACGATACAAGCTACATATGTACGTACGGAAGGGAAAAGCGGCTAGTGCTGCTGTTCTCTCTGGTGAAAGTGCCTTCGTAAGGAGATCGACAAGCTCTCTGACCGTCCTAACAATGGGATCGTCCCTCATTCCCACCTCGTAGCCGTATGCTACCGCCATGACATTGGAGGCAACGAAACTTTACGGGTATCAACGTCTTAACAAGGCAATGATGAGAAGCATGATTAAAAACGTACTCCTTGAGATGCGCATCAAAATCTGCTGGTGCTTCCAAAATGTTGACAAGAAGTCGTTGCGCTCCTGTGAAGTAGACTTCTCGATATCGAAGATCAGATTCCGGTCGCAGCGCCTGATGGAAGAGCTTTCTATGAAGTCTCCATTCATCTCCATACCGCAACATTACTGTGCTGAAGTCCACCCCGAACCTGGCATTTGCAAATGTGGGTTACTGGGTATGGGTCATGAACATACGCGAGACGAACAGGGTGTTAGTGGGAATAACAGGTCGGATCAGAGTATATCGACGACCTCTGGTCTAGAAGTTTGCGGGCGATGTTCTCCGAGTTCAGGATGATGAAGTTCTGTCCAAGCAGGCGGACATATAACAAGTCGCCTTAACGTAGGTGAGTGGGGTGAGGGAATGCCTGAGGTACGACAAGACATTACCATACTTCTTCCCCCATTCAGTATATGATAACCATGGTTCAGCAGTGTTCAAACTGAGGAGATTTCCGACGAGAGGGAGGGCTCTGGGGCCTGGAGGGAAGGATAAACCCTTGACCTTTGGCTTCCTGAAGGGTGATGTACAGACAAAAGAAGACCAAGAGTGCAATGCACACATCCAAAAGGACTCGAGAACGAAGAATCTCTTCAACCTCTAGCGGGGAAAGAGAACCCACAGAGGTCAAGGAAGTTGGAAGGGCCATTTCCTCCAACTCTGGCGTGGCTTGATCCCATGCGAGAGGGGATTGGCTTTTTAATAGTGTTGCGATTATAGTTTCGTAGTGGCAACCGCCAATGCTGCCGATGAGGATCTAGACTAGAGGCGTCGTACTCTCGTAGCCTTGTTCGCATTCGGAATGGCATCTGGAGTAAGAGGGGCGGGTCCATGTGTAAATGAATTTGCCTGCCCGAGGTCCGAGGTGGCCAGTCTCTTCCGTGACACTTCCTGCTATCTTTGGAGGGTTGGCGCTTGAGTTCGATTATGACCGCATTCGAGTCCGTATCTCCATATGTCTCGTTCGTCCTCCACGCTTACTCGTCGGCTCCACATCGCATGTCTTGCCCCTGAGTACGCGAGCCCTCTTGGCAAGGTCAAGTGCTAAATGCTGTTAGATGAATGCCACAGACAAGTCTGCAATCGCTGGCTGAGGCCCAAGGTACTGGCAGAGCGTACTACCACGGACTTGACAAGCCGCGCGAGGGTCAGCTTCCACGTCATGCAAATCTCACAGTCGTGGCAGAGTCCGGATAATTAATAATGCGGCCAGGCACAATGAGTCTTCCCCTGTTTTGCTTGACAACCCCTTCCAGGGCCTTCTTTCTCAATCCCCCTAACCATTCACGAGTTTCACTGAGTCCTTGCTACGAGGCCAGATGCGGAACTTAGATTATCTTGCCCGGATTGCGGAAGCACACCTTGGTGATAAATGCTATATCGTTCCTGGAAGCTCCCGCTGCGCCGCCCAAAATTCGATGAACGTTTCTAAAGCATTTGTTCGGTGCGCGTGTTCTTTGGGGAGAGGTTCAGCGTGAAGCCTCATGTATAACACACCGCAACCCGCTTTCCCAATAGTGTCATCGGGTGAGAACCGAAGGACGCAATCGACGCAGCAGACACAATGCCGAAGCCGAGGCGGTTCCTGTTCCGGGGGGAATGAACAGGATCAGAACACAGCACGAAAAGAGACGCCTATCTCACCCAGACCTATCGCTGGAATAGAAGAACGTTAGTCAAGTACTGGAAGGTGGCGTTTTACCCAACTTTTACCATCAAGAGGTGGTGTCCCTCGGCGTCTAATCCTATCTTGGAATGGCCCGCTACGTGTGTTACTAAGGTTGGAAACTTAAGTGTATGTACACACATGGTCCCGAACCAAACCCTGCAGACGGAGAAACTACGAAAGAAAAGGAAAAACGCAGATGCAACTTTATCAAATCAAAGGAGGAGACGGTAAGAGTAAATGCCTTGTTCTGGGACATTTCTGATCAATGTCCACCATCTCGATCGTGACATTCGGGTGAAGCGCCTACCTACGGAATACTTGCACAATGGAGTTTGTGACAAGTTCAATATCGACCCAAAGGTTGTGTCAGACGTGAAATACAAACTAAACTCAGTTCACAGTTTACCACACCATCCAACAACCCATAGGATAATAGCTTAATTCTTTACCTTCGGACTCACTAGGCAGGCCACGCTGACAGTCGCTAGACAACAAAGCCGGGGGCCCATCAGCCTTACGGACGTAATTTATCCTTCCCTCGAACCGGTGGCAACGAGAAGCCGCCAAGAGGATGAGGATAATCAAAAAATCAATGAAATACACATCTGAAAGAGCAGTGATAAAATATTCCCACATGGTTGGCATGTGTGGAATACTGCTGAGCACCGGGGGATATATATTCAGTTAGATTTGATGACAGCCTGGCTTGCAATATGAATGGGCTAGTGTATAGGTCCAAAAGATCCTCCAGACCAAAGTGGGATCTAAGTGGCAGTCGAGTGGCATTTCCACGATACGAAAGTGCGCCAAGCTTCTTGTGGGTAGGCTGACCCTCTCGGGGACAGTCACATCCCTGCACAGCAGTCTTGGCCTCAAGTTGTGAATATGGATACTGCATTATAGTGATATATCTTGCGATAGCTACCCCCCTTTTTTCCTGGTGCGGCATTGAGTCGTGAGGAATTGAAGGAAAACCGAAGAGCTTTAGAAGCAATCCATACTTGCCCACATAATAATGACGTACGATTTCTTCCAATGATATGGTGAAACTCGGAAGTTTGTGTGCTTCGTCGAAGTACTTACAAAATTAGCAGACATCTCTTGTCATTCTCTGAGCATCCATTTGTCTCTCGTGCACGCCCTCTGTTCTGTGTCAAATTCTCCCGCCATCAGCACGGAAGGTCACGTCGAGATTTTCCCGGATGACTCGTTTTATTTCACTGATGACCTTTGAAACTAGGTGCCCAAAGAACCAAGCGGCACGAGCCACACCATGACACACGCTCTTGACCTCGCGCAGTGCTGCGGAGGTGATTCCTAACCTCAGTATTGTCTGGCAGATAAGTCCTGGTCGATAATCATGATAGAAATTAGCACCACATTATTGCAAGGCGACATGCCAGAGACTCGCCGTTACGCTCTGCCCGATCCCGGGAATTGAACAGGATTAACCATTCCACTCAATCTCCGGGATCTGGGATGTGAAGTTTGAATGCCTGCAGGTGCTCGCAGGCAAACTACGCACTCATCATAAGCAATTTTAAGCGGCACTCTCTCATCATCATATTCATGGGTGTACCCATCGCCCTCATTAGCCGCTTAGAAGAGACTAGCAACGCCTCAGTGAGTCCAATTTCCAAAGCCCAGTTGCTCGTAGCTTACCATAGCTCCAAACAACCTAGGAGACTGCTACGAAATAGAAGTCCCTATATTACCAGGCGACGGCAGTCTAGGAAGCAGGTGACTTACTGCTCGTCAGATAGGAAATCTCCTACTACCACCAGATAAGAAAAGTGCGCTGTTGGGCACCCTGGCCACAACGTCCGTTGCCGTATAGACATAGTAGCAATGGTGGGTCAGCGAACGCGGAGTTAGTATTGTTGACGGTGGAATGATGCCGGGTTACGCGATTTTCGTTGTTTATGCAGGGGTAAGGGACGGGGAATTCGCCGTGTACACAGGGCGACCAGAACCTCAGCGGAACACGGAATCGCGAGGGGCGTGATGAGATTATGCACCCGTAATCTCCATTACAGGCCCTTCAACAAGGCAGCACCTGTTCGAGTCCGCAAAACCGCAGAAGTGAGTCATCCGGCGTTGGACCCCAAGTTGTTAGCCTTACCAGCTAAAACGCAATAATGAAACTGGGATAAGTTCCTCAGAGTCGAGATACGAGCCCAGGACTGCACCCTGCGGGGCTACCACTTTGTGGTTGGTGTGTCGAACCTGTGTCCATTGACACAGCCACGCAAACGCTGATTCAACTGACATGCGGCTCCGAGTGCGACATACACGCAGTTTATTGGCGTGTTGGTGACTGGCAACTACAGCATGTACAATGTTTCGTTCATCTGTGCGAGGTTTGCGCACACATTCATCGCTTAGTCGCACTGCTACGTTCCGCTTCGTTCAGGCACCTGCCAGCCGGTCTTTGCGTCCAAGGAAGATAGGACTCGTGGCAGGATTTGATGTATTGCCCAGAAAACACCCATGCAGATCTCCTGCAGATGTAGCATCCTTTCATTCAACACCAAGCAACCGAGGGCTCCCAATGATACCTGCACTACTTGGCGCGTTAAAGGTGGTCGTTGCACTGGCCGGGCTTTCATTGAAATATCTGACCCTGCCTTTAGGCTTCCTCAACCATAGAATTTGCTCGCACAGCAGGACGGGTGGCACTAACGTTGGTCCCCTTGCTGTTATTCAAAAATCGGTTCGCGCGCAAGTATATCAAGCACCATGCACGCTTCCATGACGGCCAGCCGGTGTCGGAAGAGAAAAGGGCCCTTTTGCTACGGAGGATACGCTCAAATACCCTGGCTTTTCATATGCTATTATTCGTTCCCGTCGCTCTCTTCTGGGTTGCAATCCTTGCCAGTGCGGAACAGACGCCCATCACGGGACGGTACGTGTCATTCCATTCTGACATCCTCTTGCAGCTCATTCTCCTGTTTTATAGGTGGAGACTCATTCTCCTTTCTCCAGAAGAGGAAGATGACATCGCAGCTCAACTTGCAGGGACCCAGTGGACTCGAGCCGTTTTAAGTGTACTATCCTCTGACGGTCCTCCCAAGTTAATCCCGGAGAACGACTGGCGATATCAGTGGGTACGGGAGACCCTACGAAGACTTGAGAATGCCATCCCTGTTCTGCAGCACGAGCACAAATCCAGTGATCATTGGCTTGAGAGAGCAGCTGATCAGCCCCCCTTACCTCCCCCTGCCGTCCATCCGTTACGCCCTCGCCCGCGTGCATCAGATAGGGTGAGGAAGTTCAGTGATACCTTGTGCGGCAAAAGATCTTCGTCCTCTGCTCATGTCATTGCGGGTCCTCCATACTCGTTACTCATTGTTGATAAACCTGATGCTGCTAACGCCTTTTCTTACGGATTTGGGCCAGACGGCGCATCCGGCATCGTCATATATTCTGGTTTCCTTGACGACATTCTCGCGAAGAGCTCTGATGATAATACCACTACCCTGCAACAGAAGCCCGAAGAAACCTCCGGGTGGGCCCAACTGTTCGGCTCACTTTTTTCTGTCTCGGCGTCGAATTCGAATGCTCATCCACACCCAGCTCCTACGAAGGATCAGACCGACGACTTAGCGATTCTCCTGGCACACGAAGTGGCCCATTTAGTTCTCTCCCACCATCTAGAGACCCTATCATCAGGCTCTATCATCGTTCCGGCAGTCATTTCTATGCTTGCCGACATCGCCCGCACTCTTCTCTTCCCGATAACTATGCTCTTTGGACCCTTCGTTAACGATGCCGTTGCCCAGCTAGGGAAGGCTGGTTCTGGCGAGCTGACAAAGCTTGGCGAATATTGTACCAGTGTATCGCAGGAGATAGAAGCCGATATTGTGTCTGCCCGACTCTTGGCTCATGCGGGTTTTGATGCCCGCCAAGCAGTCGCTTTTTGGGAGAGTCGACAAAACTCGACAGGGGCTGCGGACTGCTCTTCGGTTGCGCGCTCGGATTCTCCTGATGCAGGCTGGGCCCTAGCCCACCGCATAATGGGCGCCTCTCACCCTGTGAATAACGTGCGTATCGAAAGGCTGAAGGATGAACTCGTAAGATGGGAACTAGAGAAGAGGGTAGCTTTAAAACAACGGCAAGTTGGAAAACCAGCGGAAAGGTCAATTGTGGGTTTGCTATAGCTAGCGCGGACGCTTTGGTTCGTAGGTACACAACGGTTGGATGGCTATTGCTCTGTCATATGTGCATCATATTATGTAGATGGCTCTTGTATTCTAGTATAGGTGTTCCCATCACCACTCGTTCATAATTTCAGATCTAAAGTACTGTCGCAATCCTATGCGAGCGGGAGCGCTAAAGCGCTGATGCGATGATTGCCGGACTTATCTGACTCAGTCGCTCAGTCAGCACTCCCTGGGCTGATCCTCAAGTGCAGTTGCGGTTCGGCAGGAGCTCGAACCATAAACTTCCAGAACTCGACTGACGTCCGTTAAATGTCCTATCTGCAGAATTGGTTCTCGCTGAGGACTGCGACACCCCCATCCTTAAGTGGTAATGGTCAAAATAATAAACGAACCGTGCCCGGATCCTTCGTCGTCGAAGAGGGACTTGATGACAGGATCTGAGACAGAAACCGAGGACGACGTTCCTCCCGCTTTCCCCTCGCTGAACAGCACACAACGTGCCTCTGCACCAGCGCCTGCTAATAGCACCGCTGTACCGACGATACCCACCGTACTTAGGCGATAGTGCACTGATGCCACCACCCCCCGTTCCTACACGAGCCAATGCGACTTCCAGTGGGCTGCTATCCAGTACACGGGTTGCGTCTTCGTCCTTACTATCTCCGCTGGCCACAACCCAGAAGCCTCCCAAACCTTCCAAGAAGGTGGCACTCGCGCCTGGGTTTGGTCCACTAGATTGGGCACAGTTGAAGTCTTCTGGAGAAGACCTGCGCGTGCGTTTTGAGCTTGCTCGAATTTTTTTTCTTGACCATGAATATCTACTAATCATGATCGCAATAGGGTGTCGATACGCTACTACGTGTCCCACCATCCGTACTTAAATCGCATAATAAGAAGCAAGACGCGTGGACAGCCATTAACGGGAAGGTGTACAACATTACACCCTATTTACCATATCACCCCGGTGGTGAAAAGGAGCTTATGAGGGTAGCTGGCCGAGATGGACGAAGCTGTTCTGTAAGAATTCCCTTAACTCCACTTGTGTATGATCTGAAACTTACCTTGAATTCGCACCGTTCAGCATTGACGCATGCTTGGGTGAATGTGGACTTTATGCTTGATTCCTGTCTCGTCGGGTTCCTCGTGCCCGAGCCTTCGTCATGAGACGAATACGCACCTAGTTGTAATGTGGGACCAGTTCAGAGAGGCTCTAGAACTTCAAATCACATCTACGCATCAGATTTTGTCCGGAAACTAGATATCATTTGGCAATCAAGAACCACCAGTGCACATTATCTCTAACAAGCGTTCTTAATCCGGGGACTTCTTGACGGCCGATATTTCCGACACCTCAGTTGAGATATGGCCCCAACGAGATGATAAGTCAATTGCCGATAGTACGGACAGGTGATACGTATTGCGACATTGTAGCGGGTACGTAATGCCATCAGACGTAACATGATGAAATGGTAAAGAGTGCTAATGTGACAGTAGCCTTGTTCATGCTCAGCGTTCATTTTGCTGCGTAAAGCGCGAACCAGCGAGTTAACGCTATGAAATCCATGATCCAACTGAGTGTTTTGGCTATTTGTACCAACCACACTTGGCATAGTACAAGGGCTCAGATATGATTTGTGAACATCAGACCAAGCAATACTGTTCCAATTCGCTGCACTCGGTGTATAAAAGGGGGTCGGAACCACCGCTGCTGAGCGCATTACGAAACGGAAGCCAGATATGAAGAATGAGCTCGTTAACCCGTTCTACTTTCCCAGCGCCGACTCCACTGGTGATGATGAATACAAGTATGCCAACTATAAGGTAACGTTACTCTGACCCCAAAAGATGCTCGGGTGGGCTGATGACGGTAACAGCCTCACTTTCCCCTGTGAACTGAGAGCCCCTGATTGGGCAGGAAGTCACCGACCATGACCCGTTTGTCGACGCGGAGAAGAAGGATTTGTTCAGTGCAGCTCAGAAGGTGAGAACCTTACCCCAGTCATCGGAACGAAGATCAATCTCCGCAGCTCACAGCAGCTCAGAAAGACTAGCTGTGCGTACGTTTTCACGTCTCACCTTTTGATATTGGATGTAGTCCGGACTCGGGACAGCGCTCTCCCGGTGGCAGAAAAGGATGCCGTTTGTGAGTTTGTTCCTTAGGTAAATCGATCCCGTACGGTCATGTATCCTCCAACAGGCATCAGGGACCGGGAGTTAAATAATCATGAGTAGCTTGAGCTCACCAGTTATTTTGGACCCCCTCATAAGCATGTGACCGTTGGTGTGCCCAGGGAAGCAGAACTTGAGGAAATTCATAGTACGCACTGGAGGCTGCAATCTTAACAATGAAACCTAAGCATCCGTAGTCGTTTATAACGATGCCGCCACTCGAGGTCATGATTTGCCCTGAGTGTGGGGGAGACACGTTGTGGACCTCGGGGTAAGTTGACTAGTCGTGCCACGTCTTTAGTTGGCCAAAGGGCCTGACTTCGTTTCCAGTTACGTTCGTCGCTGAGCCCTGGATTCCATAAGTACCCAGAGGACTTCACTGCCCTTCACAGTGTAGCCGCACAAGCTGAAGGAGCCCGTGCCCATTGGGTTGCATGTGCGAAGGGAATCCGTAGAGAACATCCAGCCTGTCGTTCGTGTCCACCCAGCAACCTGATGGAAGAGAATCCATGTAAACCAGAGCTTCACGCGTCGCAAGGCCTGAACCCTTAGCGGACTATGAACGAAGGACAGGAAAGGTTGTCAGTGACTGTCAGACAGAAATTTGGAGAAAGCAAGTTATAAGTGAGTCACTTCGCTGTGTCAGGCGCAACGGCCTCATCGACACCTCTCTAGCGGTACTTCGACATACAACAACCGCAGCGGACGTTTGACGCGGCATGTATATCCCAAAGGGCAAGTCATGCATCTCGCTCCACTTTACTTAGATGCAACTGTGTAGTGAATCATTGGTGCGGAATAGTTGTGTTGATTCAATAAATTTCTTCAATTCCTGTGACCAAGGGAGATGAACCGGAACGAAATGCGTTACCCAAATTCCGCTCCTGAAAGCACCTGACCACCGGCAGAACGCTTGCTGAAGGCACGCCTTCCCCGTATTCTGGCTTCGGTCGGTGAGTTTGATTTGTAGCAGCGCTCAACGGAGATGGAGTTCGTAGTCGCATCTTCCCCGGCAGGCACGTCGCAGGCCAGAGCATTTGGGCAGTGATGCCATCTACCCTTGCTGCGCTACGCATCGGGAAGGCTTGAGATGACGCTTTAAAACTACTTGAATGCACAACAGGGATGACTGCATAACTATTCCGTTGACATCGCTCGTGCCCTTTTAACAGAAATACTAGACGTCCTAAGCCTTTCCATTGTTCTACAGCGGTACGGTCTTCTGGAGCTGTGGAATTGATCTATGCAAGCACTGGTGCGGATTAACTGTGCATCACAATCAGAGATATTATAATTGCATAACAAGTAATAATCACGCGAGTCCACCGAAGATCAGGAATGTGGGACGGAACCGGTACCGTTAAACTCTTCTCTCAGCTCTGTTGGAAGAATCCCCGTAACAAATGATGCAGGTTCTGAATGAATCGTTGAGTCGAGATGCTTGATACGAGCGCCTCAGTTACGGAAACCTACTAAACGCGGGGTTGGCAGTCTCTTATGTTTGCATGCTTAGCTAAGTTGGCATCCAACTGAGAGTCGCAGAATTCAATGTCGCGGACCGCCTTTCGTGCACTCGCACAGTCCAAGTCGAACCACATTTTCTTATTTTGGGTGACGGTCAAGACTTCACTGACCACACCTTATCGACCCACCGATGCGTAAAGCATGCCGTTCATCAGATGATAGATCGTGGTACAGGTTGTGCAGTGCACAGTGTGGGTAAATGATCGGTGAGAACGCTGACCAGTACTGTACTCCCACACCAGAATCTTGACGCTCGGTTAGGCTAAGTATGCTGGACCCAAAGTAGTCAAATTTTGTGCGCATCGTGAAGGCCATTTTACTTGATATGGGTTGTCAAGACCGAAACCACTGATCAAGGGATACGCGTACGTGACATCCAACATAAGAGTGCACTAACACAAAACGGATTAGTTTTCCACACCGCGGTGATCTTACCACGACGATACTGTACCCAACAGGGGGTCAGTAGAACCTGATTTGGGGCATGGTCCAGCGTATGTACCTCAGATTGAACGGGATAGGTTGGGCAGGACGCCGAGCAAGTAACGCGCAGGCGCTACCTTTGCTGCCCGCGACAAATAACCATGGTCGACGGAACTCACCAACCCCACTATTTGACGTTGTAGCATCGTGATTCGAAGAATTCTGCGGGAACGACGCGATACCTTCAACCCTCTACGTTGACAATATCACTTCTAGAATGCGGATCGAACGTCCTTGATATTAAGAGCAGCTCTGAGAATACCATAGTTGGCAGCCGGATCCGAGACCAACGTCAAGAGGCGCTAGACAAAAGTAGCTAGACATGGTTTCTGTGACCGCACATGCAGAAGGCTCGAAGAGACTATCGGAGCCCCGCATACTCACGCCAGGCGTCAGTTGAACCGAAGGATGGGCACCAGAAGTGTCAATGACAGTAGCTTTGCCATATGTGGTCAGGCGACCTCATGGTCGACTACCACTCTCCATGGGAAATCCCCATCCAGATTACACGAGTGCCCGTGAAGATAGGCGTGTCTTCGGAGCTATTTGGCAGCAGGTCATTCAAAGAAATGGATGGACACGGGGGGAACACAAGGAACTGACCCAATGTATGAGTTGATCACTCGGCACAAAATCATCGAGTCCCATACGCGAGAAAATGACATAAGTTTTATGCTTCGTTCACACTGGCATACATCGGACACCACCCAATCCAAAGCTAGCTCATTTCGAATCCCCCGTCTCTGAACATCAGATCTTCTTGGGGTCGAATTGGGTGCCTGTGGGATGCTTAGGGTGAAGATGGGTGATCTTCTTATAAATCTCTTGCTAATGAATGCTGTCAGGGGACTGGTAGTACTTACCGCTGCACATGGTAGGGTCGGGTCGGGTCTCGGAACCACCACAAGTTATCTTCTGAGTGTCTCCCCACGTGACCTCGGATACTTGTCAAGTTGTCGGCGAAGGCCACACACTTGATTTACAGTACAACAACCTACTACAACTGCACCTCAAAGGAAAGCATCGTTCAGAACAGCTGAGTCCATCTGAGATCCGCTCGTGAATAACGTTACCTCGCAATTATATAAGTCTAGGTAGGTGCATGACCCCCAATCAGGTTCGGTCCCGCTCGTCATTGCGTGCAAGTAATTGTTAGGCTGTCGCGGCTACTGCCGAGGACTCGCCAACAACCCGGCGGTCATCGATAGTACCCGTTCTAGAATCTCGATTTGATACTCTTCCAACCTGCGGGCGCCGCTCGTGACGTGACTTACCAGAGAACGACGCGGCCGTCCATCCACATTAGGTATCATCTTGATGTGTTCCTGCCAGAGGGAAATGGTCGAGTGCTAAATGTAGACGCGGACTGAGATTTAAAGCTCCCTCTCAGCATGTAGACCCCCTGGCCCCACACACACGATCACCACACATCGAAATGCACGCTCTAAAGTTTGTCGCTTTTTTCGCCTTCATGAAATGTCTCGTGTTTGTCATCAATAGACGGAGAAACCGAGCTCTCAGACATGGCCTTCCACTTCCTCCTGGTCCAAGGGGTCTTCCCCTAGTGGGAAATCTTCTTGATATAGACATTTCTGCACCATGGACAACGTACGAACAATGGGGGAGGCGATATGGTACGTGATCTGGACCAGCATATATCTGGTGTGTTTCTCACTGTGTATATTGTAGGTGGGATCTCATATTGTACCCTACTTGGCCAACAATTTGTTATCATCAATGACGAGGAAATACTTCATGAACTGATGATGAAACGGTCGTCGATCTACTCTGATTGCCCGTATCTATGTACGAACAAGCTGTGAGAGCCAATCATAATCATCCACCGTCTACTACACATTAACTGTACGGTTCCACTGGATCCTAGATTCGGACTCGATTTAAACACAGGCCTGCTCCCATACTGTGACAAGTGGAGGCTACATCGAAAGATGTTCAACGTCGCCTTTAGTAAGCAAACCTCCAAGAAATACCAAGTCGCGCAGATGGGGAAGGTGCACCAGTTCCTTGTGAACTTGCTCTCCACACCGCGTGACTATCCAAAGCACTTGGTCACGTACGTAGTGCTGACCTGCAAACCCCGTATGATTTGACAATCATCCAGGTTGTCTACTGCGATAATCATGGCAATCACTTACGGATATGAGGTTGCCCCCAAGGACGACCCTTTTGTGACCAACGTCGCGGGTCTAGTGGAACTGCACACAAATGTATTGGCTGCAGAACGTGCCACTTTACTTAGCGCTGTTCCACTCTGTGAGTCCACTTCAACGACGTCGAAGACCAACGCGACCAATGCCATTTCAGTGGCGTACATCCTGTCGTGGCTCCCCGGCGGACAGCTCAAAAAGAGGGCAGCGGAGTGCTGCACTCTTGCGAGAACAGTGCTGGACGATCCTGTAGGGTATGTGCAGGATAGAATGGCAAGTTTTGCAAGAGCTACGTCAATTCAGAAATCAAAGTCTTAATATCTCGCAGGCGGCTGGCACGGCCACAACACCATTTGTGGGTGACTTACTCGAGATGGAAATTGGGAGAGATTTAGCTTCCTCTGAGGATGAACTTATCAAAGCAGTGGCAGCCACTGTATTCCTTGGTGAGTTGAGTTTCGTACGTTCTATCTGTGACGTACAATTCATTTTCCAGCACAGGTGGAGCAGAAACAGTGAGTTTATGTAGCATTACATTGGCCACCACTGAGCCACTGGCGCAGACATCATCCACACTCCTTGTCTTCCTCCTTGCTATGGTGTTATATCCAGAGGCGCAGGCCCAAGCTCAAGAGGAGATCGACCGCGTGGTTGGAGATACCCGTCTCCCCGAGTTCAGGGATAGAGAGAATCTTCCTTACGTCGAGGCTGTACTTTTAGAGACCTTGCGATGGCACCCCAGTATTCCCTTAAGTGAGCTATCTCACTAAGTCAGGCGCAGGAGACCTCATTGACTCCCTCCCGGCAGTGCTTCCACACACGACAACGACGGCAGACGTTTTTCACGGCATGTATATACCAAAGGGCAAGTCATATCCTTCGATAGTTATGCTGCATCTCACTCGACTTCATGTAGGTGCGACTGTACTAACCAATCTTTGGTATGGACACGTTTTTCTACGGCTTGTTAAATGACCTCAATTCCTGTGACCAAGGGCGATAACGCGGAATGAAATGCATTACCCAAATCCCGCTGCATTCAACCCCGGGAGACACCTAACTGCTAGTGGAACCCTTAATCAGAGCACGGCCTCCCCATACTTGGGACTCGATCGGTGAATTTAGTGTTTGCATACGAGGGAGTAACAGCGTTTAACATAGGTGGAATTTGTAGCCGCATCTGCCCAGGTAGGCGTATCGCAGACCAAAGCCTTTGGGCAGCAACAGTATCTATCCTTGCCGCCCTACGCATTGGGAAGGCTAGAGACGAAGCTGGTAAGGAAGTCGACTTTACTCCTGAGTTCACGCTGGCCGGGTTGGCTTCGTGAGTATGTCCCGTCAACATTATTCGTGTCCTTTTAACAGAAACGTTAGACATCCTAAACCCTTCCGTTGTTCTATAGAGGCACGGTCTCCTAGGGCTGCAGAATTGATCTATGCCAGCATTAGTGCGAATTGACTGCGTATCAGGATCGGATATGGCGGGAACCATTTGTATAGCGAAGATCAGGAAGACAACCAGTGTGTTGAATTCTTTTGTCATTGGGGGAACCCTGTCACAGGAGGTAATGCAGATGCCATGCAGGCCAACCTTTTGGTAGGAATTAGATCATGCTGCAGTGCACGGTTAGACAAGTGATCGGTGAGAACACCAACCAGCATTCCCTAAGTCCAGATAGTAGCCATGCCGCTCAGCTAGGCTATCTATGCTGCGTCCAACGTAATCGCCGAGTCACCGAGGCCAGTTTGAATGGAGGATACGCATGCACCCATGAACCGGTTAGCAAATGAGGCCTCGTGCATATGGAAACATGTACTTGCATGGCTTCCGCAAAAACACACATTCCGGTTGTGGGGTTAGTTCCAATGACCTTCTCAAGCAGCCACTGCCTCAGCACAAAGCGAATATCTGCTGCCAACGCGGCCAAATTTTTCCACACCCCGTTGGAATCTCCTCTTCTAGCGTGTCTAGGTGTTTAGGCTCCAGCGTTTCACAGGCCGAGCGGAACGCTTCTAGCATTTTTGTGCTATTATTGTCGTGCCCCTGAGGCATACTTGATCGATCACAGAAATCCAGTCTTTCGTTCTTTATCATTTCGAAGAGGGGCCGGGTGATCCGAGGGAAATGCGAGACGCCGGGATGACGGTCTTCATTCCACCGAAAAGGGTTTTGCCAACGACGGATGATCAGGGAGTGGCCAAGATAAATTATTGGTTTCCGTTGGCAGCCTGCAGTTTTACTGATCTGGGAGACTCCAATACCGGCATGCAACTGTTGACCTGAACAACGCCATCACATTGTACCGATATGTGGATGTGCTGCAATTCGACCAACTGGGCATCCGAGTCGTGCTTCGTCCCCCTACGACCTTGCACAGTGTCTGGTAGACCGGCTTCTTAACCAGTCCACAGCAGCTGACGTTGGCGAGGCTATTTCCGTTGAACAAGAAGCCCTGCAGCTATTCGTGCATGGAGATCTAGATTGCGACGTGTCTCAATGCTGTCTTATCGCCTACCTCCAAATAACCATCAGTTCACAAGTTGTTATGATGTCCTTGGATGTTTCACTGGGTTACCCATTCTGACGTTAGGAGTGCTATTCATCATGTTGACCTTCAAAACCATGCTGACCAGGCTTACGCAAGTAATGCAACCAAGGTTGATGTGTATGTGCACGACGTGCAACCATGAGCGGATGGAACACATCCATACCGGATACTTCCAGTTTGTCACGCTTTCTCACCGCGTGAAGACGAGCCGTTATTGCGTACAATGAAGCCCATCGGGCCCGCTTCATGGTATGTCAGCAGAGAGGCTTAGAACGGAGGGCTCCGGGCCTTCTGTTATTGCTTGCAATCGAAATTGCCTATGGGCGTGGTGCGACAGATGGTAGAGGTAGGCTTGCGCCTGGGCTTGGTCCATTGGATTGGGCTAAGTTGAAGTCTTCTGGAGAAGACCTGCGCGTGCGCTTCAAACCTGCTCGGATTTTTCTTGGCCTTGAACATCCACTGATCATGGTCATAATAGGGTATCGATACGCTGTTGCGTGTCCCACAATCAGTACTTAAACGGAACAATAAAAAGGGAGATGGATGGACAGCCATCAACGGTGAGATATCCAACACTATGGCCTACCTACTGTATCACCCTGGCGGTGACAAGGAGCTTATGCGGTTGGTTGGCCGAGATGGAACCGTTGAAGTCGTTCTGTGAGAATTCCCGTATCTCTGTTCTCATAATTTACGGTCCGAAGCTGTTCGCATCGACGCATGCTTGAGTGATTGTGGATGATATGCTCGAATCATGTTCCGTTGGCTTTCCTCGTGCCCGATCCTTCCTCGCAAGCATAAGACGACTGGTGGAAGTATCGCACCTAGTCGTAACGTGGGACCACTCTAGAGAAGCTCTAAAAGTCCACCATCTGCATCTATGCATCAGATTTGTCCGGACCTCAGTTATCATTTGGCAATCAAGATCACCCAGGCCACACTTCCTTGTGCGAAGATCACTCAACCAGCTGTGATCTCTCACGCACTCAGGTCGCGTGAAATGTGGGGCGAGATGGGGAATCCTTGACGGCCTGATATCGATATCCAACGAGCTCACGAGTGAGATGTGGCTCCAACAAAGTGATAAGTCAGCTGCCGATAGTCGTGCTGACAAGCACTGTTATTGCGACATTTTGGCGGATGCGTACGTCATCGAGCAACTAACATAATGAAGTGACAAGGTGGGCTACGGTGGCAGTACAATGTGAACTCCTACCGAGGTACTCTGAAGTTGTATCTAAGTTATTCGTGCTTTGCGTCCATTTTGCTACAAAAAAGGCAAAGCACTGAATTAGCTTGTGGTCTGACCGCAATCTGCCGTTCACGCAATCCTCGCCCGGCATATCGTAAGGGCTCGCATATGAACATGAGGCCTGGCGGCATCACTCCGACTCGCTGCACTTGGTGTATAAATGGGGGTTGAGAGTACCTAGGATCATTTACAGCGCTGCCACTAGAATCCTGTATAATGGCGCCTGCCACTACCACCGAGACCAGAACCACTGCACCTGCCAAACGCATTGTTGCGGAGCTGAAGTCACTTGGAGAGTGGACTCGTCAACCCATTCTACTCTCCCAGCGCCGACTCCACTGGTGATGACTGAATACAAGTACGCCAACTTCAAGGTGATGTGACTCTGGCCCAGTAGTAGATATTCGTGGGAGCTAATGATGGTAACAGCCTCACTTCCCTGTCGTGAACTGGGAGCCCCTGACCGAGCAGGAGGTCACCGACCGCGCCCTGTTCGCCGACTCGGAGAAGAAAGCTTTGTTCAGCGCCGCTCAGAAGGTGAAACATCTTACCCCAGTCATCGGAACGGAAGTCACTGGCATCGATCTCCGCCAGCTCACTCCAGCTCAGAAGGACGAGCTGTACGCACTTTCCCCATGTCTCTCCTTTTTTCGATATTAACGTAGTTCGGACAGCGCTCTCCTGGTGGCAGAAAGGGGTGTCGTTTGTGAGTTGATTGCTTAAGTAAAGTGGTTCCGGGCGCCGATGTATCCTTCAACAGTCTTCAGGGACCAGGAGTTGAACATCCATGAACAACTCGAGCTCGCCAGATATTTTGGGCCCCTTCATAAGCATGCTACCACTGGGGTGCCCAGGGAACCAGGGCTTGAAGAAGTTCATGGTACGTATTTGACGCTGCAGTCTTGACAATGAAACCCGAGCATCCGTAGTTGTATATAACAATGTCGCCAATCGCCCCAACCCAGTTGCGTTCGCTAAATTTGACCTCTGGCACAGCGACGTCAGTTACGAAATCCAACCTCCGAGCACAACGTTTCTCAAGGTCATAACCAGCCCGGAGTATGGGGGAGACACATTGTGGACCTCTGGGTAAGACAGCCTATCGCGCTGTGTTAGTTAGTTGGCCGGGAGTGGAAGGCCTGACATCATTACCAGTTACGCCCTCTACTCGTCGTTGAGCCCTGGATTTCAGAAGTACCTGGAGGGTCTCGCTGCTCTTCACAGTGCGGTTGCACAAGCCGAAGGAGCCCGTGCCCAGGGACTACACGTCCGGAGGGAACCCGTAGAGAACATTCACCCTGTCGTCCGTGTCCACCCCAGTGACCGGATGGCAGAGCGTCTATGCTAATAAGGGCTTCACGCGTCGCACCATCGGCACTTCCAAAGGCCGGTTCGGACGCAATCCTACAATTCCTGTTCCTCCAGCTCAGCGAAAACGTGGACTTCCAAGTTCGTTTCCGTTGGGAAACAAATTCCGTCGCAATCTGGGACAACAGGGTACGTTGATTAGCGCTGCTAGCATCAGATATACGAAAATATGAACCTTCAGGTCGTTACTCATTCGGCTACCTTCGACTTCTGGCCACAAACTCGCCACGCGTTGCGCACGACTCCCCACGGCGAGAAACCTGAATCTGTAGCGGGTTATGAACGCAGGACCGGAAAGGTTGCCAAGGACTACCAGTACAGAAATTTGGAAGAAGCAAGGTATCGAACCTCCTCAGGCTGACACAGAGGTAGTGAAAGTCCGTGGATACAACGATTAAAGAGGGGATAAGAAGTCGGCTCGAGTTGGGACAGTTTCGTGTTGTATGATACCGAACTTTCGATCATCAGTTGATGGATTCAAATTTCTCTAAGTCCTAAACGGGCGCGAGCGAACGTGGTTCATAATGACGCAGGCATATTGAGTTGAATGGAGTAGATTCAAAACGAGGAACGTCGACTCCAAAAAAGGTTCGCAGACTGCTACTTGACTTTTTCCGGTCAGTTCCCTACTTATATGTTTGGAAGTGAAATCAAAGGAGGAGCCCGTGGCGTAGAGGCTATCGCGTGTGATTCCAGTTAGGCATCCACAAGGTCATCCGTTCGACTCGGGTCGGGCTCACGCTTTTTTATTACCTTATTTCCTCGCCCTTGCTGACAACTACAAAATTCAATTACCACATCAAGTGAGCTTACCCAATCCAATTCCAGTTCCGGTTTCACTTGCGACTGTAGTCTGAGCGGCGCTGAGGGTATATTTACATTTTACTTGTGACGGGCAAGCGTTGTAAGCTCTGCATCCGATCGACGATGTTGTGTACCCAAGCGGAGACTTATTTACAGAGCAGTTTTTCCGATCAGAAACTTTTGGGTGGTTAAGTCACGGTGTGTAGCCTTCGCTGTGAGAGCTTCGCATTTTCTTTTTCCTTGGGAGGACTGGCATTGTGATGAGCCCGTAGCGTAGAGGCTATCGCGTGTGATTCCAGTTAGGTATCCACAAGGTCATCCGTTCGACTCGGGTCGGGCTCACTTTTTTTTTTCCTTCGCGAAGTACACATCCACCAAGTGCTAAGCGCTATTCCATATGTAAGGGTATCAGTTATTGAAATCATGCAACATCAATGCAATGTCCAAACTTCCAGGGACGAGGTATACACATGGCTCTCCTCCACGTCAAGATTTGCCCAACACAAGATGCTTCAGACCTTTGCCTAGCCTCTTCACCGTACCCTTCACCTTCCTTCTTATTTGCGACCTGTCCATCTCTTGGAAGTGGAAGTCTCCTGGCTGATCCGGTGAATCTTCCTGTCGCCACCGTGCCAACTCCATGCGCATTTCCGTCTCTCCACTCAAAGAGAACCCTGAGAAAGGTCTTTCCGGGTGCATTTGACCTGGTAGCACCATCGACATCGGTCGAGAATTGCGCCCATAGCGCAAGGATGCGTACGGGCGTTCACCACAGTCAAGAGACTTGGTCCCCCGCGGCGTATATTCATAATGGGATGGAATGGGAGAAGGGGTGCGAGGCACGACAGGACTGCTTGGACGTGACATGTTCTTACGTATGGCAGAATAATATGGTCGATTCGGGTGGCCAAGTCGCACGGGAGGGTCACTTCCTGGGGGTGGGGTGATCGCGCCCGACCGCAGTATTTCCGTTGCAGATGACAAGGACATATCATTGCATTCGCACAGGGGAGATGGAGATGAGGGTCGGGAGTGCGGGCGCAACGAGTCGGATGATTCACGTCGCCGTAGCATCATGGGCCTCTTCCTACGCAATACACGGGTGGGTGAACAACGTGAGGATTGCACGGAGAGGGTAGAGTCCATGGGGGAGCCGTTGGGAACAACCATACAGTCCGTAGCATGGGTGGAGTTGGAAGCATCCGATAAGACAGACGTCATCGAGCACATGTCCTGGAAGGTGAAAGGGCTACCCCTCCTTCTGCATGAAAGCTTCGGGTCTGACCGGCTGGGACTATGAGTGCGTGTGCTTGAGGGGCGAAGGGCGCAAGGTTTCCGACGGTGGCGTGCGGAGCTTCTTAAAAGCCCATTCTCATGTCTATCCTCAACTTCAGAACCCTCATTCGAAAGATGCTGCAGAAGCAAAGAAAAAAACGAAGAAAAATCGGGTCAGTCGCGCGTTCCTGCTTTGTGGGGAAATGAAATACCGTTGCCGTGGCAATGTCAGTTTCAACGTCAGCCGCTTCCGCTTTTGTTTCTGTCGTCCGGCTACGAGCGAGAACGGCATCAACGTCACTACTCGCTTCTTCATGTTCGAACGAAAAACGTGGCTCGTAGGGGGATGTGGTGTCGCGACGAGGGTCCCTGCCTTGCAAGACGGCGGCGGTATTGTCGGAGATAATTTTTCTATTTTGTGTAGAAAATGGAACGTCGGCTGGAGGAGTCAAGAGCTCCATGCTACAGCTCACTGAATCAACCGACAAGCTTCTCGGCGGCCTGGGCCTATGCGTCCCTGATGACAGGATCTTCGCAGGTGTGCTCAGTCGGCGCGACCTGGGCGTGTTCTTCTCGAACTCTTTTGTCGCCTCTGCCGACGTCCACTTGCACCAAAGACACAATGGTATCCACGTATTCGAGAAGCCGCACCTGCGACAATCGAATAAAGGTCGATTTGGGCAAAGACAAAGAGTCGGCAGGGAGTCAGAAGGCGGTAAGTACTTTGTGTGAAACCGTGTCATTGGGATATTCTGACGTGATCATCACTAGTAAGGACAGCTTACTGGTTTGTTTCTCTTCCATTCTCGTCGGAGATATCGTCGCGGGGTCATCCACATATCATGATGAACTGTCCTATCGCCCATCAGGTTGGCCGGTGAGAGGTCGCCAAGGAATGGGAGGGCAAGTCGTACACGAGGACTAAATGCGAGTTCAACTCACTTGAAACACGACCATGACCGATGCCGGGTCGCGTCAGAGAAGCGATCACACGATTCCCGGGACGAGATTCTAGACGATGGATATCTGCAACAGCAGCTGGCATGCCTTCTGCGCGTGTCAACAGATAAATGCCGTCTGTCACAGCTGTCCGGACAAAGCACACAACGTTTCGGATTCCTGAGTCTGTTCATGACATCTGCAGAACCTCGAGGCGCCTCGTGACCGCCACGTGTGTCCTTATATCATTAGTTCTCGTCGATGTACTTGCCATTTGCATCCCACCACTCACAGGGTAGAGTAGACGGCCCGGATATCCGCCAGGCATGTCAGAGAATACAGGGTGAACTGCTTGGAGTCTGAAGTAAGTTGACACGCGCAGATGTATAACAGCAGGCCGAGAAGTTGAGGTGGTACCTCGCCCGGTGGTGGATGAGGCAAAAGCAGAGGCCTGAGAAGATCTGTTGCTTAACCGCAAGAGGTGACTGCAATTAGTGTACACGTAAAAGTGCAGTAGTGACCTAGAAGTGGAGGTCATACAAATACAGCGATAGCCCCCTTCTTCTCGTCCATAATCCATTGTCCACCAACAAGCACACTAACATGGATGTGACCGCATCCGCCCACCGGGCAAGTCCATTCGTAAGAAGCCGAGACAGTAGGGCCAGTCGCCTTCGCCTTGCCTTTCCCTTTTCCTCGGCGACCAGCGTGTGCCTTGCCGCGGACGCCAGGACGCTGGAAACTTGAGTCGCTTTGAAACGAAAGGTGCTGGCTATCCAACGATGGGTCGGATACACTGTTGCGGGACCGTAGACGCGAACGTATGGAATTCGTGCTTTCGACAGCTATCTTCCCGCTATTCTCTTGGCTCGACGACGGCATAGATGGTGTTTCTGGGTCCATCTTACGCTTCCCCTTCACATCTATAGAAGCATCCACAAGCTCCGGGCCAGCCTCGGACACCGGTTTCATCAGCTTCTTGATACATTTTCCGTCTAGTAGGTGTCCACAACGCAAACCCCACAACCTCCGCTGATCCCGGTCATCTCCGACATCGGACGCTCCAAGAAAAAGAGGATCATGGCAATGGGCACATGCAAGAGCAGGGTCGGCGTGGCGCGAATCGTCAGCATTGCTCGGTTCAGGTGAATGAGAATCATCCAAGATGATGATAGAATCTACCGGTGAGGGTGCTGGAGTCGTTGCGAAGTCGTATGTAAAACCTGGGGAGGGCTTGCTCGGGTGGGTATATTCCGACTTGTAATCGGGTTCCGCTACACGACGGTGATTTCGACGAGCGAAAACGCGCTCCAGTGAATCTCTAATTTCACCTGTTCGTGGGTAGTCCTCGGTGTCATCAGCGTCGTTCCCAAAATAGACGTCTTCTGCGAAAGCATTCAAGGGGTCCCATCGCATTATGGTGGGAGTAGATTCCCAAATACCGCGGTGACGCCAAGGCTCTCGAGTGTCATGGCCACGAGGATTCAAAACATGCCTGACGCCCGCCAGCAATGCCCCACCAAAGCCCATAGATGGTGTATGCGAAGAAGGGGGTGCAGCGGCTGGCGCATCCTGGCGTTGCCCATTTTCGTGAGGTTGCCGCATGTCTGCCTCAAACGGGAGGGGCTGCTCATTAGGGATGATGAGTCCAGCAGGTGGTAATAAAGGGTGGCTCTGTCTCATGGATGCGAACCGCCGCGGAATAGGTGGCACAGGAGGTATATTGCTTGCTTGTGGAGGAGGAGGAGGAGAGAATATGCGTTCTCTCCAGGCTATATATGCAAGCTTAATAGGATGGTCAAGACTAAGCACATTTTACTCACCAGACCTGGATCTACTACTGCCAACATACTGAATTTCGTCGTCTTCACTGTCATGAACGAAGATGACCTCTTGGTCGGCTGGCACTGAGCGCCCGTCTTCTGCTATCCGCCTTCTCTGTCTCGGTGGTGAGGAGCTTGATGCGATAATTTCTGTGTCCAGCAAGTCTACATCTGTGATCTGTGGTGACTGAGCTTCGCGCTGTTCAAGGATGGCCGGGGGAACACTTGGGATGTCTACGAGCGACATTTGCAGCTGGCTGAGTGGGTTTGATCTTTCGTTGTCGTCCCTCACCGGTTCGCCCTGCAGTGCCATATTACATAATCTGCGACCAGACCAAACCAAGCCAAACACGGGCGCTAGGTATAAATTTTGGGCAGCTCGGGCGGTGAAAACTTATTCTCTCTTCTTGCCTTCCATCGGTGAGTGGCAGCTTTCCACACTCGTCGTCTCAAGGATGACTTTATTCTCTTCCCCGTCCTACACGACCATGCCGAGGAACAGAGCTGTTCGTTCGCAACGAACACGCGTTCTTCGGAACGCATAGTGTACTTGCCAGTGCCATTTTGTCTGAGATTTCTGTCTTTTCTATGCGGATCTCATGAAGCGATTTTACTGATCACTGTTGTTTTCTTCTTTTCAGGTTTGCTTTGGTTGGTCGCCGAAGGTTGGTAGTCTTTCATGTGCCTTTTTGTAGTACACCCTACTTCATGATGAAGCGTATTCCGTTTATTCGCAGTTTCCACTCTAGCGCCCTCCGCCTGGAGTACTCCCCCAATGCTAAACGTTTACATTCCCCCTTGCGTTGTGGAACCCAAAAACACGACCAAGCGTGGGCCGCCTTCGGGTGCGCTGAACGGGAAGCGGGGGTCGGCGCGATGAGGGACAAAGAAAGTTCCTTCCTTTGGATGTCTGATCCTTGTTGTTTGCTGGGATGATTTAGACCGTGTGCTCACTCTTTCACTCAGGTTTATCAATCGATGTGAAGATTGCGTTGTAAATTAGGGTAGTAGTGTGTTGTTTATATTAGAAAATTGATGTATGCTGTGATAAAGTTGCACAGCATTTCACTATTTTCTGAGTGCTTGCGTGTTACCTTGAGGTGCACAAATTTTGAATGTCGACTTGAGTTCTGAATGCCCTCCATACAAGCTTTGTCTTCGACGCCCTTAGACATTCCTCACGCTGTCCCCGATCATGCACTCCTTCCGTTCCTACGTTCGCAATCTCAGAACACCCTGACACGCCTGTACCAGCGCCCTTCATCATGTCTGTCCATTCTTCGGTCAGTCTTGGATTTCCGGGCGACGGAGGGGCAAGAAACTGAGAGACTCTTGTCCTCGCGTACAGCTTGCTCGGCCCTTTGGAGCGGCAGCTCATTATGAACTTGCTCTGGCTCGAGAGCGCAATCCCAGTGTCTACTATGGCAACATGGGTCATTCCTGACGGCAAAAAGTGCGTTCTTTTGTTTACTTAGGAGTTCATTGTTCAGTGTCGTATACAAGGCTCTACAACGAAGCCCTATCAGCGGTGGTTGGATTACACATCATCCAGAATTCGACAGTCAAGCTTGCGCTCAACCCGACGTTCAAGTCCAGCCTGAGGCAGGCTATTACTGGAGGGTTAGTCGTGTTCCGTTACTTTGACTGCCGCTGAAATTCCCTAATGCTCGGCCACAGCGGGACTACGTCTAGTTTCGGCGTTCCAGCAGAAAAGGATGAAAAACGGCAGCCAGTCGGAATAGACACGCTCGATGCATATGCCCTCGAGAGGTGGGAGGTGAGTATGCCTTCGCACGTATCAAAGCCATGCTCGTAACTCCTAGCCCTCTGATTATAGACTATTTTGCATTATATGGTCTCATCAGGACAAGGACAACTTCCAACCAAGCCTTCCCAAGGCGTTTTGTTTCTTCTTCAGCGCAGCGGCTTGATGCAAACTACCCAGTAAGGTTTTGCACTAGCAGTCTGGTGTAAGACGTGTTACTCAAGTCGTTCAACACAGCGGGTCTGCTCTGCAAATAACCTCGGCAGGATTCCAGTTTCTCCTGCATTCACCACACTGATCAACTGTGGAGTCTGTTACTACAGTACTTGCACATGGCAGAGGTGAGAAACACAGAATCATCAGGTCGAGCCTGCTGAATGAATCATGGTAACAGGAAAGGCAAATGGATCTCGTCGAAGTCCTTAGCTTCCTCTTCATGCTTTCCACCATGGAACTTGGACGCGTAAGTATCGCTACCCTGTGCCTTCACTCCCATCAAACCTATCATTTTTTCCGCCGACAGGAGTACTCTGCGGATTCATTGAGTGAAACTCAAAAGGCCATGCTAGAAGACCTGCGTGACTACGGTTTAATCTGGCAACGAAAGGTCCGTGATTATGTTGGTCAGCGGGCGCCGCTCATCACTGAAGTTTCCCTCAGGGGTCGTCAAAATGCTTCAGTCCTACCCGTTTGGCAACCACCCTCACCTGCCTATCACCACCGTTACCAACATCTTCCACTGCCACCTCGGTGACGACCTATGGCACTGAGGTGTCTCTGTCGTCGACCGCTGGGCCCCAAGGATTCATAATCTTAGAAACAAATTACCGAGTTTATGCCTACACTAGTGAACCAAGCCAACTCTTATTTGTTTGCCGCCGACTGACTCTTTCGCACGCATTCCAGATAACCCATTGCAAACAGCTGTTTTGAACCTCTTCATCACGATGAAGTACCGCTTTCCCAACCTGGTAGTCGGAATGTTGACTCGCGAGAGCGTTCGAAAGGCCTTGAGCAATGGCATTACTGCGGATCAGGTGCGGTTGTCTATGAATATGTTTGTATTAGCGGGCAAATTAATCACAACGGATACCCGGGTCTAGATCATAAGCTATCTTGTCGCTCACGCACACCCTCAGATGCGGAAAAATGTAATTGCTAGCTTCCCCGTTAATTTGTAAATTTGACCGTGTCCCTCCCGATCGCTCGTAGAATCCCTTGTTACCAGTGACCGTGCAAGACCAAATCAGGTTATGGGAGCTGGAAAGAAATCGCCTCAAATCGGCAGAAGGTCCGTGGCTACGAAATCCTTTGTGACTGTCGCCAGCTTCCATTTATCGTGATCCCCGGGTGTGTGCAGGCTTCTTATACAAGGACTTCGCTTCCCAAGCGGACTACGATTATGTGTTGGCGTACGCAAAACAACTCGGCGTTGTCCTGTGGGAAAACACTACGAAACGGTCATTCTTCGGCACTTTGGAGGGTCACGCGAACATTAGAGGGTTCATTGAGAGGAGATCGGGTGCATCCTGACATCCTCACCATGTTCTGTTCCCTCATAAGGTCTTGACCGCAGTATGCGCCTCACATTGTCAACGAGCCAATACCATTTCCGGGCGTGTAGTGTTACAACAATGCACTATTAAGGAGGCCATGCGAATCACAAGACCAAAGAGAAAACCCAGTAAAGATATATCAACCAATTCAATCCCTAGATTAAACTCCACCTTCGTCATCCTGGCGGCAGAGGACGAAGGCACCCTCGAACCCAATCCTGTGCATCTGTACATTATCTCGCCACCTGCCAACGAGGCTCTGCCCATGGACGTAACCCTTGAAGATATAGCATCCACTGCTGTCAAATGCCGGTTTGTCCGCCTGATCGGTGATGCAAACATGAAACGCGGGGAAATTGTGAGAGATAAAGATTGAACGTACAGGCATCCGAAGCAGGACCACGAGTCCATCCCATCGCCGCACCCTGCCGATATAGGAGTAATATCCCCATGCCTCACCCTGTTTCTCGCCAGTCTAAGGGGAGGTTATTATACCGCATTATGATCGACTCCTCGTTTTTCACACGCATGCACATACCTCGCCAGTGATGATGATGTCCTGAACACCACTCAAAGTCTCCTCGATATAGTCCTCGTACTCATCGTCGTCCCCGTGTGAGGTAAATAGCGACTGGCTACCCCAGCCCGTGCCATATTCGTTGAGTAACCGCTGGCATGCTGCGGCGGAGTAGGGCTGCGCACGATCTGGGCAATATGTCTCGTACCATGTGTCCTTGCCCGTGCTTCGGATCAAATATTTTAACGCCATTCTACGAGAGTAAAGTCGCGGTAAGCCAATTCTACGGGTGATGGACCTGATTGCTTACGGCTTTGTGGCGGATGCGGGTGTTTCGGGGCAGCCAAGCGTTGAAAATATCTTCACCGCCGAAGCCGCTGGGACAAGGAGGTGCGACGAGAGGTTCACTGAACCTAAGACAGTGGTGCTCTTCAAACCGACACGCCACGCGTCCCTGTACCATCGGCACCGTGTTGGGGTGAATACGATTGTCTACCGCGGCATTGATATGAACCTGCGTGTCCGGAATCTGGAGGGAGAGAGGATTGAGTTTAAGCGTACCGGAGATCGGTGGACGCGTACAATCATGCGGCCGCACCAGTTTCCGACCATGGTGCCGAGGGAATATACGATGCCTCTTAAAGGCCGCTCGATGTCCCAAAGGTCATGGCAGGAGACAAGGCGGAACCATTCCAAATCGAGGGGTTCGCTTGGGCTATGGCCGCGCTCGCGCGGGTTATTAAAGAAGTGGGTGCGGGTACGGTAATGAAACTCTGCGACGTCTTCTTGAGTGAGGGAAGGGCTGGCAATTCCACGAGCGAGCGCTTCTTCTCGCGTCGCAGGAAGATCAACAACGCTTGGATGAAGAGGAGCACTGTCTTGGCGAGACTCGCGACGTACAAGGTAGTTCAGTAACGCAGCAGGAGTGAGTGGTGGCACAGCTAGCTGGAGCTGATGTCCGCAATAATGTATAGTTGAAGCGAGTGTCGTGGGCCCTGAGTATCCTGCTGTCACCGTATCGTGCTCTTCACATAACGGGAGGTAAAAGTGTGTATCAGGGGCCAGCAAGGAGGGATACTAAGTTCATACGATGAGGGCGGCGTCTACAAACGAGCAAGGCGTAGGCGCATCACCTGATAGCCTCTGACGAGGAGAGGGAATACGGAGCTGATGGCCATATTGAACGGGGCTCTACCCTCGCCTCTCACACGTTCTGCGGAATGAGTTTCAGGGAGAATAGTAAGGATAGAAGTAAAGACTACCAGCCTGGGCTGCTTGTCATCCAAAGGAGCCACAGTGCCAGCGACGTGCCCTCAGGATCAGGGGGACAATCCTCATAATCTATCCGAGAAAGACATCGCAAAGCGACGGCACTCAAAGCCCATTGAGGTAAATTTGCCCATTGACATAAATGTTGTTCATTTCTGCCGTCGTTCTCGAGCATCATGAGGTACGACCTCCACAAGGCATCCCTGTCGGGAAAAACGGACACTCTTCCGTGACGGATGTATTTCAGGGCGACGAAGCGGAGTCTGAGTTCGTTGGCCAAACAAGAGGCAGACGTCCAACTTGGAGAGAGCCGACGATCGAGTGCAGCAGCATCGAACTTGTAGCGGAAGATCTCGGAGTAGAGGTGTGGATTGTTCTTGATACACAGGTGCTCATACACTGTTCGTGAGGTGAGGAGAAGGGAGACGAGATTGGAGGGTGGACCGAGGAAAGGGTCGACGGCGAGGTAGAAGGCGATTAGGTCGAGGGCGGGACGGTCCATAGGCAAGCCTTTCGAAGGGAGATAGAGGAGACTGAACCATGCTGTCAGTTGGGGGGAACGTACACGGTGCCTATTTATTATTTAAATGAGGGGCAGTTAGACGGAAGTGATGATCATAATACTTACCGTCAGAGCGTGATCGCCGCGTTTCTTCAGCTCGCTCGCATCGCGCCATCTTTTACGGTGACGTTGCGGATGTCTGAATCATTACGACAAACGGCTGCCAGCGGACCCACCCCAGCCCGTCCATGGCCCATCCATTATCCACAGAATCCATGCGATCCGTCGAGGATCAAATCAACCGCCGGGCTCGCACGACGCAACTTCTCTTCCATGTCCAGACAACAGGAATACGCTTCGGATCCGGCCGAGTCGGCCCCATTTCCAACAACGCCGTCCGTCCGTATGGCGGTGCCGCGACTGCCTTTATCGGCCCAACGTTGTCTTGGTATCCACTTCTCGGCCGGATATGGGCAATACGACGCACTCCATGGTAAGAGGAGTTATCGCGATGGACAGAAGAAGACCGTCTGCGTTCCACAAGGTTTGACCTATGCTGACACTGCGTGTTGAGTGTGTGTGAAGAAGATCTCGGCTGCTGTGGTCATTCAAGCTCAAGTTCGTGATTTCATATCGCCTTCATATCCGCGCAACGCCATTCACGCCGCGGTCTAGTCATGTTTTCTTTTTTTCTTCCTCTCGACCTCAAGTATTCCGTTGGTCAAATTTCATCGACCTCAAGCGCTCATCAAATACTCTCACCGTCCAGAGCAACCCGGCTACAAGCCCTACAAATGCTCAGTTGTAAGTCGCAACGCCGTGTATATCCTCCGTCTCCGCTCAGGAGCGATCTGTCCCCGGGTTCCTGAGCGGTTCGTCGTAGTAACTTAGGTTGTTCGTTTACCCTGGCTAGCCCCGGAAAGCGCACTCACAAGGGTAAAACACACCGCGTCACGTTGCGGGATCCGAGATTCAGCGCTCAGCGAACTTGGCTGTGCACTCGTGCCACTAACGCAATTTGCCTCACAAAGATCCAGTGTCCAATGATCCCTCGTCGCCGTCGGAGTCATGGTCCGGACCACGTGCGGGTCCATATATACATTGCGGGGAGGGCTCCCGGATTAGGCAGACTCAGGTCACAACAATTAATAGATCCTCATCCATCGCTATCATGGCGTCTATCCTGTACAGCACTTGGCGTTCACAGCAAACCCTAGTCCATCGCAATGGTGTAGTCTGAAGGTAAGAAGTTGTGATCGGACGCCCGTCAGAAGCCCCCTCCTTTTGTTGGACACGACAAGCGGACCCGCGCATTTTGACAGAATGCTCCGCGCCAGCATGTATCATACGTGCACATGAGGGCCAGATTTAGGTACACATGTCAGACCAGGTAATGATAATCTTCTTTGCAGAGGCTCCGCACCGAAATTGTAATTCATTTCATCGACGCCACCTGTATCACGCATGGCCAGCGGAATCTCGTCAGTATATCCAGTCATGACGTCTCAGTGGGGCGGAATCGGGCTGCTGTTGCATGGTATACCGCCTTGCCATAACCCCACGATTGTGATTGGAAAACAATGACTAATCTACAGGAACCCTGAACCTAGGAATCAATGTAAAGAAGGTGGAGCGTCAACAGTTGTCCGCGGTTTCTGCACAAGCACCCCCGCACCGATTTCGATCGCAATTGCCTCTGCGATGCCTCTATTGGATCGGAAGCAACCGGCTCTTTGCTTGAGTACTGAAAACGATCTTTCAGGTGGCCGGTGATCGCTTTCTCTCGACTACGCCGCCATTCTCTGGCTACGCAGATATAGCCATCAAGTGTCATTACTCCGATAGAGCAGGAGGTCCAATGGCCGAACATGCGGAATCCCTGTGTTATAGTTCAAAGTACCATTCCAAGATCACCGCCGGGCAGCGCCTTAGGCCCATGGAAGCCATAGTACGACAGGAGATATGGAGGGACACGGCCGCGCAGATAGTTAGTCAGGCAACTTGAAATGTGCCTATGTACCTACGTCAATATCGGAACGCGGGGATCTGTAGTGCCTCATGACGGTATTTCTTCATTCTCTTTTGTCAACCCCACTATAGTACTTACTGTTTGGGCGAGGTAGTCGCGTTCCCGCGAAACCCCGAGTCGGCTTTGCCCGCTGGAGGATCCCATCATGGAGCAGGGCAAGTATGATGTCTGGGGAATTTTCTAGTTGATCTAGCACGCTTCCCTTGTCATTCGACCCATTGAAGGAGAGATATTGAGTCGCGAGGAGACAGCGCCGTAGCGGACTCCGTTTAGCGAGGTACCGAGGAAGCCTTCACAGGTTCTTGCTTCTGCTTTATCTTGCCGGAGTCGTCGTAGACTTGTTTGGCATGGGCCGATTAGAACACCAATGGAGCGCAAATTCGTAGAGCACACACAGAAATAAAATGGAGACGGGCTGTCCATATGAAACATCGCTTTGATTGAAAGGCCTGTTGGATCCTGCTGGATGCTGCAAAGTTAAGTTCACGACTTTAAGAACTTACATACTTGCACACGCAGTTCCGAAGTAACCTTGAAAAAGAGTCCTTGTCAGTTTCAAATTACCAATCAAGCTACTAATGCGTAGTAACGGTGGACGCAATAAGGGGTTCCTCACCTCCGCCAAGAACGCATGGGCGGAGAACTCCGTCATGAATTTGCGGGTGTTCGCATCACCACAATACAAGGGTTCCCGTCGCCATTGAACCAGAGAATGCATAATGAAAGTGAAGGTGGCATCAAATACATTTTTTGTTCGCGATCGGTACATGTTTCACATTCACAACCTTGTACCAATGGCCAAAACATGCGTTACCCTAAATCGAGAACGAAAACAAACGTACACGCGAAATTAAAGCGACGGATGAATCATAGAAAAGGGTAGGTTATAAAGTCGCGATAAACTGCGATCGTATAGCATACGAGTGTTCGAAGAAGGGGGAGTGAGGCGTCCTAAAAAATATGAACCAACATGATCAAGCAGCCGCATACAACGGAAGCTGCCTGCACGATCGTGAGAGAGGGCGAACGACCCGCGTGCGACCACGCTCAAATCGCACTCCTTTGACTTCTTCACAAGGAGAGGAAGTCCTCGAGCCCGATGAAGACAACGACGACGATGACGATACGTCTTCGTCAGGTGAACATATGTCGGACCGATCATGCGTAGGAAGCAGCCAGTTGTCATACCATCGGCCTAAGAAGACCTTGATGTCCGTCGTGAGGCCGAGGTACTCGACATTCTGCGTGAGGCCCTCCCAGTCAACGACTCCTTCGTTCAGACAAGTCTCGATGAGGTCTGCTTTGCCAAAGTATATCCAGTGGACGAGAAGGTGTATTGAACGAGGATCGGGAACGGGGAGGAGAAGAACGGGGCGAGAGGAAGGTAGGAGATGTGGCTGGAGACAGCCCGACGTTCGGGATGTGGACGGCGAGGATGCCGATGGATCTGGTTTCACTAGGTCGAGGTACGAGTACCCGCCGAAGAGGCCTCGCAGGAGCGACGACTTGGCACACAAATAGTCCATGTGCAACTGCGCATACTACCGTGTCAGTGCCAAGTTCTTTATGTGAAGGAAGAAGAGTACGTACTTGGAGTGTAAGATGGGAAGTGACGTGACTCGGATCAGCTGCATGATGACGAGGTGATAGCCGAGGGTGGCCGAAGGGTACAACTGCAGGTGAGCCTTGGTAAGAAGAAATGATGGGGGCACGTCGAATGAGGGACCGTACCTATGGTACAATCGGCTGTTTCTGGTTTGTTCCAGTAGAGGGGAGCAAGACTGTGGAGCTGCTGTGCGATATACTCTCTAGGGACATCGGCGAGGGGAGAGGGGTGGGGTGTGAAGCACTTGGGTGACGCCATCATGTTAGGCAGGCGAAAAGGTGACTATGGAGTGGTGCGACCACGAACGGGGCGGATGAGTTGGGGCCTTTTTATTCCCTTCCGCAAAGGTCCCATTTACCTTTGTTCGTGACTTGGAAAGATCTGAAACAATGTTTCCACATAGGCCTCAGGATCTCTGGATGCGAGATTGGCTTTGTCGGTGGCGAGATCTAAGACATGGTGACTAAGAAGTGCTTGTTCTATGGAAGCTGCAGTACGAAGGCTTCACATCTCTCGCTAGCTGCTTCTGACTGTCTGATTTTTTGTACGTATGCAATTGACGCTGCGCGAGTAAGAATGCGGGTGATTTGAGAATCGCCAAGGAGCGTGAACTCGATCTCATACAGCGAGCTTCGAGTCTCCGGGACAGGGATACCGGCCTGTAAGCTGATATAAGTCAGCAAGGGTAGTAATTGGACGCGTGACTATTGGATAGTCTCAGATCCCCTCCATCTGGCCACGGTGAAACTGTATCTGCACAGTGACACTGGGCACGCAAGGCACCGTATCTGGTGTGCGTCGACGTCGGGCACGAAGATCCCGAAAATCTTGCGACCGGCCGCAGTCTAAACGTTTCTCGACGTCACGGTTACATAAGCCTGCATGTCTCACTCGACACAAGCTCAAAAGTCACCAAGGTGGGATCTGAAACCACCCATCAGCCAATCTCAGCCGATCTGAATGTGACCGACTCTTGAGATCTCTCCGTGCATTGTACAGTCATACTGTATCTGTAAAGTGACACCGGGAAATATATCACCTGCTGTGGTCAGGCACACTTTCCTGTTATACAACTCCGAATGTCTCGTATTTCACCTTGCTCGATCTGAGACTGCCCAAGCCAATCTCATTTTCACTTTGCTTGCAAGGTCATCCCACATTGGCTTCGTGTGCAAACGTACACATCCGCTAACAACTTCCTTTTTAGATTGCACGTTACACTTCGTCGACATCCTCCTAAGCGCTGGTGACCGCTCGTCCTCCGTCCCATGTCTGTATATGCTAGTGCACAGAGTGCGCCTTTAAATAGCTCGTGGTTAAAAATTGTACTGTAAATTGTGGTGAGGAGAAATATTTTATGGTCCTCCCATCTCGCCACCGTCTCCACATTCTCCAAGTGCTAACACGATCTTTTTAGTCTTTCGCAATAACATTTCCAAACGTTCGTCTTCTATGCGTAGTTCCTCGCATGGGTGTCTGGTAAAAAGTTCGTTCTCGAAATCACGCAGTAAACGTATGTTATCTCGACCTTTGCTTCGTGACAGTGCCACATAAACATTAAAAGGCATTAATGCAAAGTTTGCTGTTTTCCCTATGTCGACTATAATGTGGCCAATGGTGTCTCCTTGGGATCTATAGTCGGTAAATGCATATGCTGGTGTTATGGGCAGTTGATGGCATGTTACACGGGTGCGTGGCTTTTCTCCTATATAGAAATGATGAGTGACAGGCATAACAGGGATTTCGTCCTCCTGTAATCCATCAAATGCCAATTGCGAGGGTCGATTCACCTTCATGGTGATATAGAGTGGGGGGTAATGCAGCTTTATCTCGTCACATTTTTCCAGGTCATCCGGTTCTCGTGGATCAAGGACAATGTTGCTGATAATTCCCTGTGTTCCATTTGCTATACCTGCTGAGGTGGATACATTCTCTGTCACTATCACTGGCATCCCTACTGCCAATTTAACGGATGTGGGTAGATTTTCTGGATCGTCTATTGCCATTCGTGTGACAAGTAAGCGTTGTTTCTTCGTTAATATTCCTTGTTTGGTTGTATCTTCTGCAGGGGCTATGTATGTCAATGTGCCTGTCTTGTACTGTTGCTTGGACATGGACAGTTCGTTCCATTGTCCCTGTATGTTATTGCATGGAGTAATTAGCACCGCATTCTCCCATGGAGGACTACTAAAGTCTAGTACATTTCCTCGGGAGTTGTCCAGTATAAGATCATGTATTGTCGCCAGGTCATCTCCTGTACATTCACCTGTTCTCGCACATTGCAATACTTCCATCCAGTGTTTGTTGATTATCCTCATTTGTTCTTTTAGTGACACCACCATGTTAAATTGCAGATACAGGTTGCATCCTGTTGCACTGTGTGTGGTAGGTTGTTTGCTGTAATACAATGCATGTTTATGTTTCCCTGTTCCAATTTTGGTTATGCAAAAGAAGGTGTTGTTGGAAAAAAGTTTGGCCCATTGCAATGACATGTTATTTTCACATGATGAGAATGTGATTGTGATCAGATTATTGTGGGAGGTTGGAATCTCAAGTGTATCACCACACAATTGCAATGAGTTTACAACACATATACCTCACCCACTAAGTCTCAGCATTGCTGAATCAGCCTTCAAGCTTCAAACTTCACTCATTACACCCATCCTCTTTGTTCATATCTCATTTGTTGTCCATACAGTCTGTAACTGTCAAATATGCCTGTGGAAAAACCAACTGTTACCTGTGAGTCATGTGGAAAAGTGTTCAAACTGACTGGACTCGGACATCATCACAAGTCATGTATCAAAAGAGCTTGCAGAGAGAAAGAAGATAATGCATATCTGGGGATGCTATGTCAAGGTAGGTGTCAATGCTTATGGATCACACTCTACCATCATTTTACAGTTTGCAGCCAGCTTGAGTGACCCCATGTAGTCCATTTAGTCACAACATATAGGTAGCCTGCATGCCAAAATGCCAACACTTATGTAGACCCTGCGACAGGCCTGTCTAAATAGGTTAGCCATGACACATGGACAGGCCTGAGGGCCTATAGTGAGAGCAACATATGTATGGGCCCATAAATGCAATTCCACAACATATGGGAGGGCCTGTGGAGGGTAAGGATGCTGCAACATATAGATGGGCCCATGACCAAGTAAGTATGCTAAGCTACTGTAAGACATGGATGGGCCTGCCTATTGTATCATGAAGAAGGTCACAACATATGGACAGACCCACCTGTCATATGCTTTATAGGGTCACAACATAAAGAGGGGCCCATCTATGATAGATTACAGAGTTGGCAACATATGGAAGGGCCTGTCTTTGGGATAATATACCCCTGTCACAACATATAGATGGGCCTGTCCATAGCAAGATGTACACCTGTCACAACATAAGGATGGGCCCATCAGTAATATCATTGACAGCATCACAACACATAGATGGGCCCATCTAGTAAGATGCATCCCTGCCACAACATAAAAAGACAGGCCTGTCAGTAATGTCATTTATAGCATCACAACATATGGATGGGCCCTTCCATAATACCATTTATACCATCACAACACATGGGCAGGCCCATCCATAGTAAGATGTACCTGTCACAACATAAAGACAGGCCCTTCAATATATATCATTTACAGGGTCACAACACCTGGATGGGCCTGTCTAGTAAGATGCACCCACATCACAACATAAAGACAGGCCTTTCAGCAATATCAATTACATGGTCATAACACATGGGCAGGCCTGTCAATAGCAACACATATGCCTGTTGCAACATAAAGATGGGCCTGTCAGTAATATCATTTACAGTGTCACAACACATAGATGGGCCCATCAGTAATATCAATCACATGGTCACAACACATGGATGGGCCTGTCAATAGCAACATGTATGCCTGTCAGCAACATAAAGACAGGCCCATCAGTAATATCATTTACAGTGTCACAACACATAGATGGGCCCTGTCTAGTAAGATATGCTGTCCCAACATAAGGATGGGCCTGTCAGTAATATCAATTACATGGTCACAACACATGGACAGGCCTGTCAATAGCAACATGTGTGCCTGTCACAACATAAAGATGGGCCCATCAGTAATATCATTTACAGTGTCACAGCACATAGATGGGCCTGTCCAGTAAGATGCACCCCTGTCACAACATAAAGATGGGCCCATCACAACACATGGGTGGGCCCATCCATAATAAGATGTACCTGTCGCAACATAAAGACAGGCCCTTCAATATATATCATTTACAGGGTCACAACACATGGATGGGCCCATCTAGTAAGATGCACCCATGTCACAACATAAAGACAGGCCAGTCAGTATTATCAATTACATTGTCACAACAGATGGATGGGCCTGTCTAGTAAGATACACCCCTGTCACAACATGAGATGGGCCTGTCAGTAATATCAATTACACAGTCACAACACATGGACAGGCCCATTGATAGCAACATGTATGCCTGTTGCAACATAAAGACAGGCCTGTCAGTAATATCATTTACAGTGTCACAACACATAGACAGGCCTGTCTAGTAAGATGCACCCCTGTCACAACATAAAGATGGGCCCATCAGTAATATCATTTATAGCATCACAACATATGGAAGGGCCTGTCTAGTAAGATATGCCCCTGTTGCAACATGAGATGGGCCCATCAGTAATATCAATTACACAGTCACAACACATGGATGGGCCTGTCAATAGCAACATGTATGCCTGTTGCAACATAAAGATGGGCCCATCAGTAATATCATTTACAGTGTCACAGCACATAGACAGGCCCATCTAGTAAGATGCACCCCTGTCATGACATAAAGATGGGCCCATCAGTGATATCATTTATAGTGTCACAACATATGGAAGGGCCCTTCAGCAGTATCATTTATGCAGTCACAACACAAGGACAGGCCCTTCAGCAGTATCATTTATGCAGTCACAACACAAGGACAGGCCCTTCAGCAGTATCATTTATGCAGTCACAACACAAGGACAGGCCCTTCAGCAGTATCATTTATGCAGTCACAACACAAGGACAGGCCCTTCAGCAGTATCATTTATGCAGTCACAACACAAGGACAGGCCCTTCAGCAGTATCATTTATGTGGTCATAACATAAGGACAGGCCCTTCAGCAGTATTATTTATATGGTCATAATGTATGGATGGGCCCTTCAGTAATATCTTTTATATCACCATAAAACAAGGACAGGTCCATCTAGTAAGATCCACCCCTGTTGCAACATAAGATGGGCCCAACACCAATAGCACATATAGTGTCACAACATATTGATCGGATCACAGCAAAATATTGAGGCAAGCATCCTGACATGCCATAATTTTCCAACAAGCTGCAAGTGGCTCACCCACTATACAACTCCAACCTCATCCACCCCAAGCATGAATACTATGCAAGACATGTCTAAAACCCCCCATGGATGGCAAATGGAACTAACAGACTGCATTGCATCATACATGAAAGCCAGATTTCAAGAGGAGGTATTCAGCAGACCTTGTGCCCTTCCAGATATATTGATTCTGTTTCTGGTGTTATGTGAAGCGGATTGCATATCATCAGTAATCTCACAGGCCTATCATTTCCTGAGTAAGTCCATCATAATGGTGTGATGGAAGTTTTCATCTTTCTGCAGTCAATGTCAGGAAAAATCAGGGTGGAAAAACCTGCAATGCAGAAGCTGCTGAGAGATACATGGAAGTGACTGAGCCATCCATTCTGGTGACCAACTCAAACACCATCCACATTTGGTATTTGCTGGATGCTCTCAGCCCAAAAAGAAGGGTAAGGGAATGCAGAATCTCATATTCTACTGACTTCATGCAATGGCAGGCTGACATATGGAACTGCCTTCATCTTCTGAGGGAACCACTGTGGGAGAGCATAAAGGCTTCCCCACAGGCATGGTGGATGGACAAGTCATATTTCTGTGATGATGCTGAGTTGAAAGGTGCCATCAACCTGTCACCCACATGGTTTCAACAGGGTCATAGGGTGGGTGATCATTTCTTTCCTTGTGAATAAAGCACTCATCTGTCTTGAAGCCCCAAAATGGCTTCCCAGAAGCCTCATGGCTGCTCAAATCCAGGATGGAAAACACTTCTACAAGGGAATGGGTTGACCAAATGTCCAACACCAATGCCCTGTTATCTGTGATCCTGCATGTCATCCATCCATGAAGGTATGCAGATGGCAGGGAAGCATTGATCCACCTTGGCAAACAGGCAGAACAGTGGGTGGATTCAGATATGAGCTCCATGTATAGCAGCATGTCTGTGATGGTGAATCAGGCAACTTGTTACCACAGGGATATCAATGGACAGGATCCATGGTATGACATGCTGGTAACTGTGGGCAACTACCTGCCCTTGGACTTTGTCATTCCAACATTGAATCTGCAGCTGTGCTACAACCCAGGGATGATCACTGCATTTTCAGGTTCAGCACTGGAGCATGGGGTGGGAGCTGTAGATGGTGACAGAGCATGCCTGGCATACTACATGCATGCCAATGTACATCAGTCGGTGCACATTCCCATGTGTCAATCACCATGGATGGACGACCTACTACCTAGACCAGTTGCAACTGGACAACTGTTGATTTGAAGCTGCAAAATTTAATGTAAGATTTAGTAGGTGATGCGGATCTTGTATTTTATTAGGATATGCTGGCTCTTGAACTTTGGATGGGTGGTGTTGCCAAGATTTTGCAAATGGGCAGGTGCTTCAACATCATAGATTGGGCAGGTACTCAGAGCTAAAGGGTGTGCATCATAAACTGCAAAAAAAATAAACCTACTCAGGCCATCATGCAGATGGGCAGATTGTCAGACATCACACAGATGGGCAGGGGTTCAGACATCATGTGAATGGGTGGCATCTCATAAATGATTGACATTTACAGCAATGTATATTCAACCAACTCCACAGTCAAAAACATGTAAACTATTGAAGTGGCATGCACAACAACCCATGCAATGCCCACCACCTAGTGTAGAAATGGTCAATTTGTCAACCCTGACCATTGACAACATCAGCATATTTCCAAATATTTTTGATGCAGTAGTTTACCCACTCCTTGATATGGCCATCGAGATGGTCTGTGATTGGCACCTCAGGCAATGGCCATAAGCCCTGGGCCATCATCAACTATTTGCAGCGATGAGAATAAGTGGCATAGCTTAAAAAAATCCCAGGCCCCAGAAAACAATCCCTTGCCTTGCAATCTTTGGGAATCTGCTGCATATTCCTCAGGATGATATAGCCACCAAGGGAATGCAAAGCTGGAATTGGGATAAGCTGCATGTGGGGTCTGATGTGGGATGATGGCACTGATATTGTTGATTATGCTAAATGTGCTAAGGGGAATTAGCTGCATTTGATCACAGAAGCTAACCTCATCATCTTGGTGTCTGAGGTATGCATGGTAGCACACCAGGAGGGGAGGAGTATAACTGGCATGCAACACCATCACAAGAATCAAGCTATTAAGCTGATTCTGAAGGAATTATGTATCAGTCCCACATTGTGAAAAATTGATGTAAAACCTACCAAGTCCATTGCTAGGTTTGCAAACCAATGTGCAGGCCATCCTGCGATATCAACAGTCTGCTTCAGATGTACAGAGGCCACCTTGATCTGGCATGCCGGTGTGAGTCAAAGTGAGGTTTAGTGGTGAAAACCAACCAATACCAACACAAAAGACAACGAAAGCGAGTGGTGGTGTGCCTATGCGGTACCTAGATGGTAGAACCTGTTCTTTGGGTGGGTTTTTGTGAGCTACAACACTCAAAGATGAGTGCTGAGGGTTGGGGGTGCTCCTGACGAAGAGGGAGCAAGAATGTGATAGAAAGTGATAGGGTAGACTGCTGTCAGCCTACAGAAGGATGGATGGTGACTTAATTCGATGTCCTAAGCTGTACTGAGCTCAGGGAGGGCTTGGAGCAAAGTATATGGATGATAGATGATGATAAGTGAAGTAGATGATAGCTAGACCCTTAATAAAGTCTCAACTATCAAAGCTGATGAATGATTTACTGAGAGATGATAAATTGCGAGCAAGAGGGGCTCTCTGATGTCTTCTTTTTTTGCTACTTAAGTACAGTGACTTATATACAGTACAGGGGCGTTGCCTATGGAAAACCAGGTGCAAACACTTGGTAAGTGATTGGTAACTGATGAGTAAGGAATGTAAGCGATGGGTAATTGTCTTGGAAAGCATTAGTAAGCATTGGTAAGGATAAGTAAGCCAAAAAGTGGAGAATCAGTAAGCAGTCAAAAGATTGGTAAGTATTTGCAATAGGTGAGTCAAAGACAGTCAGAATGTCACAGTATGAGTCAAGTAATGTCAGGAACTGGGAAAGTGCACTGGAATCGCATTAGGGGGAGGCTGTGCATGTCACATCTTGAAGAGATCGCTTCTAGGCCAAAGTGGGATGACAGAGAGGCAGTGCTGATCTGATGGCGATATAGTACATCCAAAAGTGGACAGGGTGAGTCAGATGTCAACAGGGGTCAAGCTTTGGGGGTCTGTGGGGTGACAGGAGCATAGGGGATCGAAACTTTCCCCCCCAAACCATCCTCTCAGTGAAGCAAATAAAAACTTCATGAATGAGGCTCTGTTGGAAGAGAGGATGAAGGGGGAGTGTCTTCTGCTGTATCTTGCAACAAGGAGGCAAGATGTGCATCATACTCGTCATGGATGCGATCAGGGAGAGTGGAGAACAGTAGATTATACTGTAGCTGTCGCAATTTTGGAAGAACGATGGACGAGACTGGTATGAAGACATTGCAGGGGGCAGGGAGGAAGGATCCATATGCTTCTTGGACTGGAGAGACTGAAACGACCACATAAGACCTTTCCAAGCGAATGACAGACCTGAGGCGACCAAAGAACGTCCTCCTGGAGGTCATACTGACAAAAAGAACATGCTGTCCAAGCTGGATGGGCTGAGAGGGGGCAGATGAGGGTGGGATGTACCAGGATGCTTCAGGATGGAAGCTGGTAGGAACTCCTGGTAGATATATGTAGCCATGGTCCCTAGCAAAGGGGACAAGCGAAATGACTGATGTGGAGGCAGCCATATCAGAAGAATTAGCGAAATGAGTGTCTTTTGGAGGGAGTGCTGTAGAAATGTGTGGAGTGCGCAAATCCTTTCCAATCTTGGAAGGTAGGATCACATGGCTGAGCACTACAAGCGAGTGTGGGAATGGTTTCGGTGTCTGCAGAATTGGTGGAGATATGTCGAAAACCAGAATGCCATACATGGGCGCTTAAGAACTTTATTGGCGCTTAACCTGCCTCCTCCTTTTTCCTTGCTATTGACAACTTGTTCTTGTGCGAGGGATGACTGCTGACATTGCTGGCTGTCCTTCTTCGCATGAGGGCTATGGTCTTCACCTCCATTCATCAGCTACATCCATGTCCACCTCACCAAACACCTTTGGTGTGTGACAATGGGCCCATCCATATGTTGCATAATACCACCAATGGGCCCAACCTTATGTTGTGACTCTATTAAATGATACTAGTGATGGGCCCATCTTTATGTTTCAACAGTGGTACATCTTACTGTCGACAGGCCCATCTATATGTTGTGACATTATGAAATGACATTACTGACAGGCCCATCTTTATGTTGTGACAGGGGTACAGCTTATTATGAACAGGCCTGTCTAGATGTTGTGACACCATAAATGATATTACTCCCAGGCCTGTCCATATGTTGCCAGCTTTGTATTCTAATCATAGACAGGCCCATCCTTATGTTGTGACCCTCTCTCTCCATGTTATGATAGGTGGGCCCACCTTGATGTTGCAACAGGGGGGTAACCTACCAGGATGGGCCCATCCATGTCGTACAGCAACTCAGTATACTTAATTGGTCATGGGCCTGTCTAAATGTTTCAACATCCTTACCCACCACTGGGCCCTCCCATATGTTGTGGTAATGCACTTACAGGCCCATACATATGTTGCTCTCACTTTAGTCCCTTAGGCCTGTCCATGTGTACTGGCAAATCTATTTAAGCAGGCCCATCTCAGGGTCTATATGAGCATTGGTGTTTTGGTGCACAGGCTGCCCATGTGTTGTGACTAAATGTGACTACACTATGTGCTTGAGTGGCTCTCAGCAACTGCCTGAGGTCAACAATCCTGAATCTGGGTCTTCTGCCCAGCTACATGCTGGCCCACAACAAGGTAAGGGTGATTATAATATAGTCTTCCTTGGTTTTTGAATTGATCTGGCTTGTTACAGATATCAATGATTTCTGGTTCATGCCTGTTGACATTGGTCTGCCTGTGGGTGTTATAGATGTGGCAGATGAAGCAGGTGATGTGTTCTGATATATTTTAGTAACAGATAGCCAAACAATAATCCAGCTGCAGGTGTCAACATTGGTGTCAATAATGTTGACAACATATGAATCAAATACCATCCACATGGCTGCCAGGCCACCTCAAGACATACCATTTGCCGAGTTTGCCCAGGGCCACAGGCCAAAAGTATACAAACCTGATACTTCCACTGATCCTTGGTATCTGTTCTGATTGCATCTCGACATCAGATTTTTGGAACTGGTCCTTGAGGCTGCTCTTAACAGGGATCAAGTCAACTGTTTTCTCAAGTTGATAAAATCTGCCTGCTGTGGAACTGAGTTGTTCATGCTGAATGAATATGGTGATCTTTGCAGCATGTGGAAGGCTGCTTTGCACCATATGATGGGAGTAAGTGAATTTCTGAGAACTTTCATTCTGCACTACCATCTAATCACACCTAGTCTAGTTCAAGAAAGAGTTGGTTTGTGTAGTTGGTGTAGATGGTGAGTCACTCAAATTCCCCATGTATTATTGTTCACTTTTGGACTGGGCATTCAATCTTCTTAAACACCCTGGCATGGGTCCACACTTTGTCTTCAACACAAAGCATCTTTTCAAGTTTGATGGCTCCTCTTTTGTTCACTTCATCAATGAGCCATGGACAGCTGATGACTTTTGGAACTCCAAGTGCATATGTGTATTAGATAGATTATTGTCACATGTCATTCCCCCAATATTCAGGACAAACTGCCTCCAGATGGGAAGGCTCTTCCATTTATTTTGTATACCAACAGAGCAAAGCTGTTGTCATTTGGGTGACAGAAGGGATACCCTGTCATTGCTCAGCTTGCCAACCTGCCAACTTGGATGTGGAATGGCAAAGGCCTTGGAGGTGGTCGCATTGTTGGGTGGCTACTGATCATACATCATTTGCCTGTTTAACTATTATCTTATTTTCATGCACTTTGTAACAGGTAAAGGAAGACAAGGAACATTCTGGAAAACCTTGGTTTGGAAATTTCAAGAATGCTGTTTGGCACAAGTCCTTCAAGAAACTTTTAGGAACAATTGAGAAAGAGTTGCAAATGGGCTGTTGGGTAAAATGTTAGGATGGTGTTCCACATTGCTTCTTCCCCATGATCCTCATTTTGTCTGCTGATTATGAAGAGCAGTTCATAGCTGGTCCTGACATACTAATTTGTTGACTGACATTCTTGACATTTAGGGTGGTGTGGGACACTACCTCTGGGTAGTGTGTGAATAGGGGAAAGCTGTAGGGGAAATCCCTAGGCTTGACCCAAGGGATGCTGAGTAGGAAGGAGACATAGAGTGCAATGGTAGAGTTGGTCGAAGAGCTGAATGTAGGGCACAGAATTTAATTCCATAGAGTTGGAGGTAGGAATAGACTTGCTTTTGAAATTCCAGGTGATGATCTTGACCTGACAAAGTAACTCTGAGACAAATTAAGCACATGGGAGGGGAAACAAGACACAGTAGATGCAAGGACACAGATACACAGAAGACACAGTAGATGCAAGACTCTCTGAACTCTTTAGACCTGCATATGACACAGATTGTGAGTCCTAAAAATGATGATCATTCTTTTTTGTCACTGAGGCAGAATTATATAGTACATGGATAGTAAGGTACTGATTGGAGAATTTTGGGGTGGGTAAAGCAAAACTCTGAACAACAAAGGGGACAATGTGTCAGACATCAAGGCCATACAGCAATGTGTGAAAACAAACTGTAAAGTAGTAACTGAGAAAGATCAACAGGAAAGATGGATATCTTCCAACAGGGTGAGTGTACACTGTACCATGGAGTGGAATGCAAAGGGTAGAGGCTGTAGATGCAAAAGGGGTTCTCGCATTGCAGAGAAAGGTTTGCAGGAAAGGAATGAGAGGGGTAACTGGAGTTTTTACTGATGATCTATGTGGTTTCCTGGCTATGTGGCAAGGTGAAGGTTGAAGTGACACGACTGCAGAATCCTGGATAGACATATGTCAGGTTGATATTGACATGAAATTCTGGGACAATGACTGGTGTGTGTTATTGATGGACAGGGGAGCTCTGAAGGTTCAACAGGCTGAGGTGGCACATGAGGCAGATGTAATAATTCTGAAGATGACAGGCATGGTTGGTAATGGCAGGATTTTGGTGTTAGCATCCCTGTTTCAGCCTCAGGGAGTATACCACTCCCTACAGCAGTCATGGCACTCATATGTGGCATCAGGTCCAACTTCCCTTGTCCTGTGTGTCTCATCCCTCATGATGACATATCAAAGTTTCCCACTTGATGTGAGCTTCATACAACTGATAATGTTCTTAAGACATTGCAGGAGGCATGATCACAGGACACTGCTGAGAAAAGAGAACAAATTTTGATACAGCAGGGTCTTTGTGATGTTAATGTAAGCTCCCCCTTTGTTTCATCCACAATAATACTCTAATCTTTGCTAGAATGCATTCATGGTTGTCGCAAATACAGATGTTTATCATGCCCTGTCTTGGGATCAGCTGCATGCAAATTTTGCAGGAAAGTTTGGTGATCACCTGTGGCAGGAGCTTCTTAGAATCCTTGAGAAGGGAGGTCATCAAGTCATGGCAAAAGTGAAGCAGAAGTGAGTCTATTCTATGGTGTAGTGGGTGCTGGTATATTGACCAATTACTAGTTTCAGTGTCATGCCATGCTGGCACAGTCTAAATCACTTCGATGAAGCCCTCTCCATCTCATACACTGACAGCCAAAAATTTGAGGACTTGTCAAAGGTACATATTCATTGCAAAGTTTAATTTTTGAATGGTCATATATTCTTAGCACAGATAGTTGTGTTCACATGTCATGATGTCTTGTTACCTACAGAGAAGGAGGGTTACCTCCTACTTCATTGTCTACATGCTTATATTGAATTTGATTTGTATACAGGGCTCAAGTTACACACAGCACATACACTTGAGGCAGGCCAAGAGGCACTTGCAATGTTTAACACATTGATGCAGGTACATCTTGTAGTGACAACTTTAATTCATGTTGACTGACCACTTTCACACAAGAAAATTTCTGAGAAAACCTAAGAACACCAAGAAAACATGGAATTTCCCAAAGAACCACACATGCATGCATGTATTTGATGACATCAAAGCTAAAGGTGTCATGCACAATTTCAATACTAAGCCAAATGAGAAGATGCACAGGCCTTTGAAGGAGAAGTATCAAAGACATACAAACTTCAAAAATGTCGCCAAGTAGGTGTGCCATTCATGGTTGTTAGCTTGATGTATCCACAAAATTTACATATTCACAGATTCTTGACATCGACCATCTTGAGTTGGTGTCCAAACTCATCCATTGCAGGATCACTGATTGTGATACATATATGTCCAACATGGAAACCAGTGCAGGAAGCCCCAGTGGTGATGATGCTGATGACATTGAGCAGGAAGATTTTTTCCATGTCAAGTTAGGGAGTAAAGTGAAGTATCCTTTAACCTTTGAAGACATCGAGCAGAGAAGCACCACTGACAAGGTGTTCACCCAATTCTGGGTGAAACTTAATGAGTTCCTCAATAGACATTTTATGACTGCAGGGAAACCTCTTCTGGGTGGAAAGCCCATCCAGTTCCAACCAAACAATCAGGTATGATTTTAGTCATATTCTTATGTATGACAAGGTTTCTAACTGCTGACACAGATTATAGAATACAGATATATCAAAGTCAACTTCAAGTCAATTGTTGATTGGTGCCAGTATACAGATCATTTACAGTGTAATCCCAGTTTCCATGGGCACAGCCATTACAATTGTGTGCTCCTCAAGACACAGCAACATGATATCTTTTGTTGACTAATCTTCATGTTCCAGTGCATAGTTGGTGAAGAAACCTTCCCTTTAGCTCTTGTGCAACCATATGATGCCCAAACTCAGCTGTGAGCCATAAAGGACATGCATCTCAGCCTGTGGAGGGTCCATGAGCAACCCTGTGAATCAGCTGAAATTTTCTCTGTGCACTCAATTATCTGTGGTGCACTTTTATACCCAGACCATATGAGAACTGGTGACTATCTTGTAATTGACACAATTGATACTGACATGTTTCTTCATGTGCAAATGATGCACAAGGCTGCCAGGCACCACTGAGATTGTAAGTTGTTGACCAGCCCTTGAATGTGTTTTCCCCTGCTTATCACTTCTTTCTCCAGTGGTAAGTTTACTACCTTCTTGTCACCCATCACCACTGAGGTCTGTGTATCTGCCACCACTGTAATATACCATATCATCATTGTCCACCACCCTGAGACTTGCTCTCATCCACTTGATGTGGATGTCACTGGCCTCTTCAGTACCCCACCCAAGCCCAGTTTTGCCAGGATCAGCCCTTTTCCAACTCACATCTTCGCTTGATTTCGCAGGGGTAGGCCCTTTTCCAACTTACACTTTTGCCCAATTTTGCAAAGATTGGCACTTCCCTGACCCACATCCTCGCCTGATTTCGCAGGGATCATCCCTTTTCCAACTTACATCTTCGCTTAAGTTCACAGGGATCCAACTTGTGTCTTGACAAAATCAGGTGACTCCCCCACCATCTTTACTCCTCAAGGTTTAGTTCTCATCCAACTTCAGATTTGCAGGGATAGGCCCACTTCCTACTTACATACTTGACAAAGTGACTCTGAGTCCTGTTCTCTTGCCCCATGTATCTTGCAATCCATCCACTGGGGTTTGCATGCCTCCCTCCCCCATTCATGTAACATGCCACCTCCCACTACCTTTGAGACTCCCTCCCATTCCTGTTTGATGTGGATGCCACCAGTTTCTGCTGCACTGTGCCCATGCCTATGTCCTGTGCCAAGTTGTCAGTGATTGCCGTGGCATCACCATTGCTCGCACAGGCAACTATGTGTATGTGGTATGTCAGAACATCTTATAGCTGTGCATGCCTTTACTCACTCATGTACAAGGCATCCTGTGGTCCTTGATCATAAAGAACACGAACTCCAAAAGTGCCCAGACAACCCCATTAGTAGTTGCCTTCATGAAACATGGGGAATATCTCATTGGCCTGCCTGCAAAGTGTCAAGCTGTTGTCAATCCATCCAACACTGTCTTCACATTCAAGCATTTGATTGGTCACAAATTCAAGGAAGCAGAGGTCCAGGAGGATATGAACCACTGGTTAGTATATGCCATAAGTGTTATTTAAGTAGGAAAGCATCTTATATTGTCCACAGGGCATTCAAGACAGTCAAGAAGCCAGGTGCTCATCCACCAGCTGTCAAGGTTGACATTGGCAGCAGGAAACAACAATTCATATGTCATTGCAACTCTTTTGATCAGTAAGAGAACTAATGTACTTTCTAGAGTGCTGAGGAGCTATCATCTATGATACTTACCAAGATGCATGTGACCATCAAGCAGTACCTCAACAAGGAAGTCAAGGAAGTTTCATGTATATTATCTATGAGTTCTCCAGTGTTGACTGCTATGATTAGTGATGCAGTCATCACAGTCCCCACATACTTTAATGATGCCCAACAGCAGGCTACCAAGGATGCTGGTCAAATTGCTGGCCTCAAAGTTCTCCAAGTCATCAACAAGCTGACAGTTGCAGCTGTTGGCATATGGCCTTGACCATGCCAAGTTGTTGGTAATTGCTGTATATGATCTTGGCTGTGGTACCTTTGATACCTCCATCTTGGAGATGCATAAGGGAGTCTTTGAGGTCAAGTCTACCAACAGAGACACCCACCTTGGTGGTGAGGACTTCAACATCACTCTTGTCACCCATATCCTCAATGAGTTCAAGAAGGAGTCAAGTATTGACCTCAGCCAAGACTGCATGGCCATTCAGCACATTTCACAAGGCTGCCAAAAAGGCCAAGATTGAGCTATTGTCCACGACTGCAGACTGAGATCAACTTGCCTTTCATCACTGCAGATGCAACTGGCCCCCAAGCATATCAATGTGAAACTCAACCACACTCAATTTGAGTCCCTTACTGGGCTCTAATCTAATCCAACATACCATTGATCCTTGCAAGAAGGCATTGTCCAATGCCAGTGTCAAATCTAGTGAAGTGAACAAGGTCATCCTCATTGGTGGTATGACCCATATGCCTCTTCTTTTCAATATCACTCCACTCTTGCTCAGTATTCGAAACTCTCAGTGGAATCATGACCAAGCTTATCAACCACAACACAACTATTTCCATGAAGAAGTCACAGGTCTTCTCTACTGCTGCTGACAGCCAGACCACCATTGAGGTCAAGATCTTCCAGGGTGAATGTGAACTCATTCAGGACAACAAACTCCTTGGTAACTTCAACCTCATTGGCATCCCTCCTGCTCTGAAGGGCATCCCCCTGATCAAGATCACTTTCAACATCAATGCTGGTATGTGCCTTCTGTGTACCTTTAGACGATTTGCTGACCTCTTCTAGATGGTATTGTCCATGTCACTGCCAAGGACAAGGCAACCAGCAAGGACCAGTCTATGATGATTGCATCCTTGTCAGGTCTGAGCAACAAGGACATTGGGCACATGATCTCCAATGCCAAGAAGTATGCTGACATGGATAGGGCATGTGAAGAACTCATTGAGGAAGCAAACAGAGGCAAGTCAGTCTGTGTGGACACAGAGAAGGGTACATATTTACTGCATGGTACTTTGCTCTCCCACATTAATTCACATCTGCTATAGGAATGAATGAGTTCAAGGACCAACTTGATGCTGCCAAGAGGGAGGTGTCGAAACCCATTGGTGAACTTCATGAATTGGCCTCAAAAGGTCTCACCAGCGATGCCTCTGTCACTGCTGAGCAAATCAAGGAGAAGATCAGTGAGACTTGACAAGCTTTGCTAGGTCTTTCCCAGAAGGTGTACAAGGAGTGTAGCACACAGAATATGTCCTCTTCAGAGCCAACAGAAGGCTCTGAGGACAAGGATCTTGACACACCTTGCACATTTCCATTTCCTGACTTGCTTGGTTTTGGTTCATCTGCCATCCCCCCCTTGCATTACATCCATGAACTCATGCATGCATCATATAGACTCATGAAAAGTACTGCCCATCTAAGGTCTACTCAAGGTAGCCAGGCTGCTCTCTCTTGCACCACAACCCACAACCCCTGCTCAGCACACCACCATTCTATGCTTTCTGCCTATTGTAACTATACATACATTGACAGAGCTCATAGGTTTGAAGACATTAGGGCCTATCACAAAAGGAACACACTGTTGTTGGCCTTGTGGCTGATGCATGCTGCTTGTTGAATGTGAAGCACAGCACCTTGGAACATAAAGTGGAGTCTACTTAGGGAATCACAAGGTGCATTGAGATGGTATTTGTTAAAAGTACATGTGTCCCAGCTGGTAAGCAGACTGGACCCTTGATCCATGCTGACTTCATCAGACTTACTGATGTCCTTTTGGCAAACATGTCTGGCCTCACTGCCAGATTGTGGCATGACTCCAAGTCTTTAAATAATGTGGGTGGAGTTGGTGCAGAGTGAGTGAGGACCTAGGATAAATGCATGGTTGTGACAGTGCCCCCCCCCCCTTAGGGCTTGAACCCCTGAAGGCTGCATGTACAGAATGAGATCAACATGAGTTGATTATTTGAAATTGTTTGATGCCTCCAGGACAATGGGTGTAGCCACAGCAGAGCCCTGTTGGAGTTTGAAGGACTGCTTAAAAACATGTGCTAGGGCACTGAAAATTCATATCTTTCTCCATCACCATGTCCTCCCAGTGCCAGAACACAACCCCCTAGCCAACCCCAGGTCACTCCCATGACTACTCCCAAGTCATGGATGACATGTTGGTTGTCCTCACTGATGACTTGACTGACACCAAGTGGGAGAAGACCACAGAGAAGGCTCACCAATGAGATGAGGTGGAGCAGAAGGAGAGGGAATGCAAGGCCAAGAGAGAAGAGGCCAAAAGGCAGAAGGTGGAGGAGGCTTGACTGGAAGCAGAGCAGAGGGAGAGAGAGGAAGAAGAGGAATGGAGAAGGCAGAGAGAGAGCAGAGGAGGGCATTGGCAGAGCAGGCCCAGGCAAGGTGGGATGAGGCTGCCCAGAGGTGCATGGTGGAGAACTGTGAGTCAGTCCAATGCAGCAGAGGACAAGGATTGAAGAGGCAGATGAAGGTGCAGAGGGGGATAATGAGGAAGAGGAGGAGGTCAGAGAAGAAGCCAAAGGGCAGAGAGGGACAGGAGGGTGGAGATGAACAGGCAATGGAGAAGTAGATAGATTTTTTTTTTAATTTGTATTTTTGTACTACTACAAGATAGACTTTGTGATTTTTACTTTGTGATTCTGAGAAGTGAGATGGACAGGCAGAGAAAATTCTAAGGTACTTAAGGGAGTTTGGAAAGGGGCAGAGTTGGTCTGCAGAGGAAGGTTATATGGGCAGAGTACTATAGTGGATGTTGATATGGGCCAGGCTTATGTGGATAATGTTCATGAAAAGTGGAGACAATGTCAAAGGTGTGATCCAACTCAGTTGCAAGCAACCAAGAGGTTTCCTCATCAGTGTTCTCATAGCCAGCCCAGCAGACCAGGTACAAGAGCTGGCAGTGGTGGCAATGGCAGTCCACCTTAGAGTTGAGTATCTCTGACACTTCATACTCAAGGTCACTGTCAATGTCAGCTGGTGGAGGCAGAGGTTGTTGTTGGTTAGGGAAGGGGTTAGCCACTGCAGTTTCCAGTTGCAAAACATGGAAGACTGGGTGTACTGAGCACATAGAGTCAGGGAGCTTTAGGGTGATGGAGTGCATACCTGGCCTGGCCAAGATGGTGAATGGACCTAAGTACTTTTCAGAGAGTTTTTCTGAGGGATGAGTGGGGTGGAAGTACTTGGCTTTGACATAGGCCTGTTCTCCAACCTTGAACCCAGGCAGAGGTTTGCATTTGGCATCTGCTGGACCCTGGTAGTGCTGCTGAGTGGCAGAAATTTTGGAGCAGAGGAAGTCATGAAGGGTGGAGAGCTTGACAACATAGTCATGAGCCTGCAGAAAGGTGAAGTCTTGGTTGGGGACCACAGACAGGTTTGGATGGTATCCCTTGTTGGTGAAGAAGGGAGAAACTCCAGTAGTTGCACTTGGTGCATTGTTAAAAGTGAACTCCACTAGAGGTAAGAGCTTGGCCCAGTTGTCTTGTTGGTAGTTACAGTAGACATGGAGATACTGCTTGAGGGTCTGGTTTGTTTGCTTGGTCTGGCCATCACCTTCCAGGTGGTAACCCAAAGTGAAGTGAAGATGCATGTCAAGGGCCTTTCCTAGGGAGTGGAAGAAGTGGGGGATGAACTCTGGACCTCTGTCAGAGGTGACATTAGCAGGTACCCCATGCTTGGAGAAGACATGGGTAAGGAAGAGCCCAGTGAGTTCAGTAGAGGTGATGGAGTCATGGGTGGGGATGAACACCACTTGCTTTGAGAGGCAGTCTACCACCATGAGGATGGTGGAGTAGCCATCAGAGTTGGGAAGGTGCTCAATGAAGTCCATAGAGATGGAGTTCCAAGGTCTTTCTGGGATGGGGAGTTGCTTCAGTGGACCATAGGGGTGGTGATGTGGAATTTTGCTCCATCCACAGATGGTGCAGGACCTGACATAGTTTTTCACATCAGAGTGGAGATTAGGCCACATGTAGTCTCTGCTGATGAGTTCTAGGGTGTGGTTTTGCCTGAAATGGCTTGCCAGAGGGTGATCATGCTTAAACTGAAGCACTTGAAGGCAGAAGTCATCAATATCAGGGACAAAGATTTGACCATCAAGGCAGAGAAGACCACTGGAGTCCAAGGACCACTGAGGCTTAGTAGGAGTGGGAAGATGACTGGTGGAGACAGGGTCAGAGGATAGGGTGGAGATGATGTCAGAGTGCAAGCACTCAACATCAAAGACCATGGCAGCATGGAGCACAGGTGCCATGAGGGTAGTGGTATGGAGGGACAATGTGAGTTGCTCCTGTGTAAACATAGGGTGGAGATTGTGAGGATTTACCTGCACATAGTCCCTATCCCCCCCTTTTGGGTAGACATCCCAATGGTGCATAAGTGCATTGGGCCTGGCTCCTAAGTGGCCAGGTCAGAAGCAGATAGAGAGGTTAAACTGGGAAAGGTACTCTGACCAGTGGGCCTGTTGATGGATGAAAACCTTGGAAGTGGAAAAGTACTCAAGATTTTTATGGTCCATCACCACATTGACAGGTAAGGCAGAGCCCTCAAGGTAATGCTGCCAATGGCAGAAGGCCTCAAAGATGGCCAACAGCTCCTTATCATGGGTGTCATATGTAGTTGAGTTCTGGCATGGTCATGGTGTTGGAGTAGAAAGTGACCAGGCAGAGTTCACTGTCAGAGCAGGTGAGTGACAGAATGCCAGTGATGGCATAGTCAGAGGTGTTGGTTTTGACTGTAAGTGGAGCATCAGGGACCCAGTGAGTGAGAATAGGAGCAGAACTGAAGGCATCTTTCAGGCAGAGGAAGGCAGAGCAACACTCCTTGGAAAAGTTCCAAGGAGTGCCCTTTCACATAAGGTGAGTGAGAGGAACAATGATGTTGGAGTAATTATTGATGAATTGTTGGTAGAATTTTGTGAAGCTGAGGAAGGACTGGATGTCTTGCACCTTCCATGGCTCAGGCCAGTTGTGGACTGCCTGAACCTTCTCAGTGGACATGGTGAGACTGGGGAGAGAGAGAATATAGCTGAGGTACTCAATGGAGTTGGAGTGGAACTTTCTCTTCTCTGGTTTGGCATAGAGGCCATGCTTTCAAAGGCAGTGGCATGCCTCTTTTATGTGGTTGCAGTGTGACTCCATGTCCTGTGAATAAATTGCTGGAAAGCCACAGGCATGTTAGTCAGACTAAAGGGCATTACCTGCCACTTGTAAGAACCATAGCAAGTGCAGAAAGCCATTTTCCATTCATCTCCATCTGCAATGCAGACCAGATGATAGGCATGGTGGAGGTCAATCTTTGTGTAGACTTTAGTGTGGCTTGGAGAGTCAAGTAGGTTGGAGATGAGCAGCAGTGAATAGTGATCTTTTTTCATGATTTTATTGAGTCCTCAATAGTTTACACAGAGGTGGAGTGAACCATCCTTTTTCTTTATGAAGAGGACAGGGGCACCATGAGCAGAGGTGGATTGCTTGATGAAACTGTAGCCAAGATGCTTGTTAATGAAGGCATGGAGAGCTTCAAGCTCTGGGGGAGAAAGAGAGTAGATCATGCCAATTGGTGGAGAAGCCCCTTCCTTGAGATCAATCTTGAGATCAAATGAGCAGCATGGTGGAAGCTTGGTAGCCTTGTCTTTGCTAAAGATGTTGGCAAACTCATGATACTCAGGAGAAACCAAGGAGGGGTCAGGAGGTGGAGAGGAAGTGGAGGACACACAAAGCTTCACATCATCAGTGGAGAGCTGTAAGCAGAACTGCCTAGAGCCAGGGAGAGCACAGGCTCTGACATACATGGCAGTGTTGATGAGTGAAATGAGCAGAGCAGAGTGTGGCAAGTCAGTCAGAGCTGCAGTTGAAGCTGCAGATGGAGTGGAGGGTGTTGGATCCAGAGCAGAGGTCACAGTGGAGGGTGATGAAGGCACCTGGGGCATTGGCATTCCTTGTAACAGTGGTTTAAATGATATACTGCCCAATACCCAGTCAATTGATGGATTGAAGTGGGTGAGCCAGTTGTATCCTAATACCAGTGAACAAGAAGAATCCAATGGAGTAACATAAAATGAAGCAGAATTGATATCACTGGAAGGGAAGCAGAGGGAAAGATCTACTTCTTGGGAAATGACAGCATTTGTACTACCATCAAACAAGCAAAGTGGAATTGGCAGAGAAATGGAAGAAA